ACTTACAGATTAAATGCCTCATTTTGAAGTATTTAAAGAATACTCAACAATTAAACCCGTTTGCTTAAGTGCATTGTTCGGTCTATTCAAAGCAAGTGTTTACACTACATCTACTATATCTCAAAGACGCTTGGCACCTAAAAGAACATTTGCCTCCACATTTAGTATTGACCCTCTTCTGTTGTATACTTCTATACTTTATATACTTAATGAATACTCTCATCATATGATTAGATATATATTGAACTAAGTAGAAACATATGTGTACAAGGCTACATAATCAGTGCTTTGTTATCTCAAAATCCTCTAATAGATAACACGTGTTCCAGACAAGCACTTTCTTTATATAAAAAGGAAAAGCAAGCGTATAAAGCATAAAAAATTCTTTTCTTCGTGTGAATTCAAATACTTTTTTTGCATTTGTTTTTGTTTGAAATTGATTTATTCCTTAAATATTGCAAAAATCGGTGGACAGTTTTCGAACAATGAGACATGAAATCACGGGATCAATGAATGACGTCAATATTTGATGTTTATTTCGGTCATTGAAATGAATAAGTCCTTGGATCGACGCTAAAATGATTGGTGAAAATTGCTTTTGGCATGTTGCCAAAGTTCAAGAAGAACAATGTTCTTTTTACTGTATCATAATACGACAATACTATAACAATAGAATGACATTTTCAATGAGCTATTAATTATTTTTGAAACTACATGTATTATATATTGCATTGAGAATGTTATCAAAAGTAGTAGCACATTAATACCATATTTCATGATATTCTATTTCATGTCAGAAGTTCAGAAAGGCTGGTTATTATTTTTTGAGCTCTTCATAACTTTTTATTAAAAACATCCAGAAAACAACGACATATCAACAAATCATCACTTCAAACTCAGGAAATGATAGCATTTTGTATGCAAAGATAGATTTAAACGTAGAACTTTGATGAAAGTACAAGGAGAATACGACCAGGTGTTAGGGAATGATAAGTGTAAAATGCTGTATATGTTACTCCACTAACAGTTTGTACGAGTTCAATATGTTTTTCTTTCTGTACTGAAATCCCAAGACGCTGCTTTCTGGTTGTCAATGATCAGATTATGACGTCAAAGTGGCATCGGAACACCTTCGTCGATGAAATCTAACTTAAACATGGTTCTGTTACAATATAGATATCTGTTCTGCACACTTGGGATATATGGCCACACATCCTACGGCTCTGTATACGCCTCGTCTTGGATAATATGAGTTGACAAGTCTGAAATTGTTTCCGAATCAAAAAAGCAATCATGTGACAAGAAAACGCTGTGAATGTTTGATGGGCTTAAATGCACTGTACTCTTCAAGGGACAGGATATCTGCTTTATACATATACTAACGTGCGGGTCCCTTGAAATCGTTATCTGTAAGCTTTCGATTTTCTGATGGTATAACCAAAGGGCATGTATGTAGCAAGAATTTGAATTCTGAGAGAAAAAGCTCAGAGTTTCAGATTAGAATTTGGTTTGTCACGTTGCCGAATATCCCTAATCAGGAGATACACTACGTCAATTTGTAGAAAGATATATTGATTGAATGTAACTTAATTTAAGCCTGTGCAAAATTTTCCTTTTAAATCTGTAATGCGTTGTCAAAAGAGATTATATGGAACTGTTTATGCTTTTGTAAGAGGTACATATATAAATGGTGTCACCTTTACTCGATTGAGTATGAGAACCCCAATTTATGACCGTCTCCGCGGACGATTTTTATCTTTTGACAAGGGGAGTATTATTGAGTTAAAAGCACACTTGTACTTGCTAGTCTCAGCTTGTGGTGATATCAATTTAACATAGAAAAAACGTATTTTTTTTTATTACGTTATCATATTGCAATGTATATTCCATTGGTAGATGTGAAAAAACACCTGGATCGATATTGATAGCAGAACATCATAATTTGATATTAATAAGCATTTCTATAAGATCGTCTAAATAAACCGTCACTGGTTTTGACCGACACAGTAATGTTAACAATGCAAATTTAGTCTTACAATTCGCTGGTCTAGACATGGCCTTTGTGTTAAATCATTATTAACCTTTGGAATATAAGACATTGTCGACCGAAGCGATTTCCTCGGCAAGCCATAGGCGAAAAAAGCACATAACAGAGTCATAGATTCTTGTTTTGACCTATGGATTTGATATTAAGACTGATATTTGAGCTGGATACGGGATATACTGGAACATATAAAAGCTAACAATATCATATCCGCGCTCTAATCACTAGATACAGTCAGAAAACTAACGCTCGTGCTCCGATTTAACATGCAATAATATCTAATATATATTGCCGACCTTTTCAGGTTGCTGCATTTTCCCCTATACTTATGTATGTTCAGGTCAATACTTACTATATCACATATCAAGTATAAAAGAGAATGCGTTATTCCTTCGTTGATGTCATTGCCTTTAAAACGTCAGAGTGGTCTATGCGAAACGTATACCCATTTTCTCAACTCTCAATACTGACGGGTCTTTTTAGGACGAAACAACGGTAAAATGCAGTTAATTTATAACCTGGATGTGCCTGTACTATATCTAATTTTAAATTCAAATTCAAAAGTGCGATCTGCTTGTGCATCTTTTGTACGTTTATGGCGATAAAACCATCTTAATGACGCAAAAAAAAATCCATAGTGTGCACTTCGAATACTACTTCGTGTAACATGTATGTAGCGAACATCAATCATTGTCTAACCTAAAACTATCCTGTATGTGAGTGAGAGGCTTATTTTGACACTGTGTGTATTTTGTTACATAACTTGCTTCCAGCATGTTGTTAATATGCTTTCGATGCTTTTTCCAAGTGTATGATCGACGACTTTTTCGTGAACATATTCGATTTGAAGTCCTTACGTGTAACGCCCCCATGTAATCGATTTATTTCATACAATAATCAAAGGAATTGTCAGAACCTTCGTTCGTTTCCGTCTCTTGAGAAATCGCACATCAAAAACTGTTTAACTACTTAAATCCAATCGTTTTTTATCATCTTAGCGAATTATCTATTATAGAACCTGTGCGTTTGATTGATCTTTCTAACCACTTTTCCACATGGACGATCCCTATTCGTATGCCATGTTTAGCCTGACGAGACCACACCACAAAATGAGAAATTGACACGTGGATTAGTGATAAAAAGTTATAGCATAACCATCAAATATCATTTCCATCAATAAATGATATGCATTGTGGGATTTAGTTTAAATTTTACCATTGAAAAGTCACGTTCTCTAACTTTCTAGAAGTATATATCTGACTTCTGATGACGTCATCATTTATTGCAACCTAGCTCATGTTTATTCTTGTATAGACTAAATACCTACCTCATTAATGTTTCATTATTGATGTAAAAAAATACAAAATATGGTGCAATGGTATTTCCAGTTATGAAGCACTTGCCTAGTTAAGACTATTTTTTCTGAAAATAAACCAATGAGGATTGCCTATCTTTGAAAATGTTGCAATTTTGAATTACATATGTTTCAGATCGATCAAATACATACACACCAATAAAAAAAATGTATGAATTTTAAAATCACCCTTTTTTAAGTAAGTTTTATTAATCTGTTAAGTTGACGATGCTTTCAAAATCAGATTATGATGAATCGGAAATATAAACACAAAAATAACTTCAGTATCATTGTTCAAACTAGTGATAAATTCAACTCAAATGGGAAAATAAATTTTGACCTTGTTGTGTACCATATGGTGAGAAAAGTCCTTATATTTCTCCGCTGCTCTATAAAGCTATAAAGCTATAAATCTGTGTTACACAAAATTCTCGGTCATTGTTTTTCACTCCCAGTCGATAAAAGACCTTGACAGCTGTTCATACCAATTTGTCTATCGATTCGTGATTAGTTACTTTGCTGTTGGGATAAAAGACATTTGTTGGTTAATAAATGCATTCAATGGATATGATTTAATAAACAATGGTATCACTGTTGGCGCCGTTTGCAATCATTCATACTTCAAGAAGTCCATTTCCGTGATGGTGCTATGAGATAATCAATAATATGTCACTTGTTTTATATTTTATACGCTTGTCGCTACCGTCATTATCTCAACTGTAAGTACCAATGTCTTGAAACTAAACACTCTCTGTATGCTGTTGTATTGCAATTATCGTGCTTATGCCAATTAATTATTGAGTGGATTTGCCAAAAAATGATTATGCGCTAAACATTGAATGTATTTGCAGAAGGCATTGTTATCTTTCAATAAAGAATTCTAGATTTATCTTAATTGATGACTTCGGATGTCCCTCGTTCGTCTCCTAGCTTTCAAAACTTAGGTCCTTAACTTCACTGACGAGTCCTAGAGGAACGTTACAGCTGTGAGATGCAGCATCACAGACGAGTCCTAGAAGGACGAAACAGCTGTATGATGAAGCATCAATGACGAGTCCTGGAAGGACGAAACAACTGTATGATGCAGCATCACTGACGAGTCCTTAAAGGACGAAGCAGCTGTATGATGCAGCATCACTGACGAGTCCTTAAAGGACGAAGCAGCTATATGATGCAGCATCACCGACGAGTCCTCGAAGGATGAAATAGTTGTATGCTGCAATTTTCATCATTATTTATCTCTACCTTGTCTGACTCTAAATTTATATTAAAAAGTTCAATGTATTTTTGTGTCTTGTGTACAATCTAATTGGCCAGATAGTTACCTATCATTTCGTGGGCTTCTATTTTCCACATTTTCGCGGATGCATTGCTTGTTCTTTTGTATTTTTTCAGGAGTTTCCGTTTAATCCTTTTTCTGTTAGAATTTTGCCCTAGATTTATTGAATTTGATTTATGATTAGTATACTGTGTTTTCGTCGCAAATACTAACGTAGAATGTATATCTAATATCTTATTTCAAAGCAGGTTTTAATTCGAAGTAATATATGTGATCTGACAATTTCTACTTAATGTGATTTATTACATTCTTCTCTATTCCAGAAATGTGCTGACTATGATGTTTCCGACAAACAGAAGTATCCAACATTTGCTCGAACATTCCCACCTGCCACTCAAGTCACCCGGTCCATCATTTCAATTCTTTTGCATTTTAAATGGACTCGCTTTTCCCTTATCGTCGGCTCGTCTCACAAGCAGCAGACGATTGCCGAGAAACTCCTGGAGCTATCAAAGAGCTACGACATCACACTAAATGACAGAAAAGACTACACAGAGCCACATATCCCGCTAACAACCGGAAACCCTTTCCCGGGAATAGTTGAGAACACATTTATAGACACACGAGGTAGGTGCTCATTCTTATCTCATTAGGTCACTCTCGGCTCTGATATTTCAAACTGACAGAATGTCTAATTAGGGCTTCCTTTTCGTGTTGATATTCTCATCGACTTTTTCTAATTCAATTCTAGGTATTCCTGTTACTACATATTAGTACATATTGTGTACATAGGCCTTTGATATGAAATAAGAGTTCAAGTACATATATACTCTTCATGTTTGAGTGCATGGTACACAATATCCACTTACAAATAATCCGGTCGTTTTAGATAAAGTATCTTGTTTGCATCACCATTACTACAACCATCATCACTACCACCATCACCACCACCACTACAACCATCATCACTACCATTACCCAGCCATCACCATCATCACTACTACAGTCACCACTATCAGCATCATCACCACCAACACCGCTACAACCACTACCAATTCCACCACCAATAAGAACAACACCACCTCCACTACCAGCATCACCACCAACATCACCAATATTACCAACACCACCACCGCTTCCACCACCGCCACTACATCCACTACAACGACCACCACTACCAACACCGCCACCACCAATTCCACCACCATTACCATTTTCACTACCACGACCACTTCCAACATCACCACCACCAACATCACCACCATTACCATAATCACCACCACCACCACCAACACCACCACCACTACCACTGCCACTATCACCACTACCACCACCTACAATAACAACAACAAAACCAACGCCACCACCACCACTACCAATTTCACCACCACGACCACTACAATCATCACCACCATCATCACCACCACAACCATCATCAATACCATCATCACCACAAACAACACCACCACAACCATCACTACTACCATCATCACCACATCCCTCATAAAAACTACCACCACCGCCATAACCACAACCATCATAACCACCACTATCACCACCACCGCCACAACTATCATAACCAAATCACTACTGCCATCATCATCATACCAAGTATAATGTAACATGGTCTTTACTTTTTTATAAATCTACATGATGCTAGGAAACACTTCGACAGAATTCTTAGACAACAACCAAGCAATATTAAACAAATGACATCAACAGATTGCCATCAAATGGCTCTACAGATATATCTGTGTAGCGGTTGTTGGTTTAAGTGTAACCTCCAATTTGCAGAATATAATTAGAATCTGCAACGGTCAGTAAACCGTTGAATTGTGTCTAAATAGATAGAAAACTATAAAATATACTTAAATATTACATTGTCATATTAAGATTGGTAGTTTTACCACTGATGGATCGTGTTAGTAATCATACTAACACAAAACATTGACGAAAGCTTCAATACAAAATCTACCTTACAATGCAAATAAAGTTCCTTCGAGTATGATTCACAACTTCATAATTATTGGATATTCAAAACGGAAACATAGGATGCTGACATTTGAAAATTTTGGAACCTGTCGTTGTTACCTCATTGCTTGTAACTTGAAATTTTGGCTTTGGCTGTAGAAGAAAAATCAGAAATATTTCCATCCGAAAAACTGTCCATTAGATATCTTTGGCTCGGAAATTTTTTGGATTTTTTTTTTATGTAAATGTATGACTTTATTTAATTTCTTAAATGAAACTTATTTTTAAAATATACACATGTTAATTTGATCTTTTTTCTTTTCTTTCCTTAATTGCTATCGCAGCTTGTATCATTTCGGGTATCAATGTTTTGTCCGTATTATCACGAAGCCTGTTATCGTCAATATACTGGGACAAAAACACTTAAACATGATTAGATCCCATAAAGGATTTCATAAAATAGTTATATATGTGATAAATACAATTGATATGGCTTCTGTATGTAATTGTAAGTGACAACATTCTCTTTTTGTCAATTTGATAATGCAATTTCTTATTACTTATGTGCAGATACAAATGATTCATATAGCGTTTCTCTCGCCATGTTAAATGATTTCCACAAGATTTACGAAATATTGTTTGAAGTTCCATTGATAAGCCAATCTGCTTTAAGACATAGTCAATCCACATCATCGGTGATATATGAGACTGTTACTAGATAAGATTCATTCTGTACACGATATGATTTAATGCCGATAGAAGGCAGACTTTTTACACAAGCCATTATCAATCTCCGACAATAACGTTAAAACAGACATATCATCGATATGTTCTAAATATATATTCTATAAAGTCTATCGAACAAAAAAAGTGTGAAAAAACATCAATCTTCATTACTATTATTTAAAAAATCGATTTCTGAGGCTGTATTACATTTTTATTCTTGTAGTCTATGTTTTTCTGGGCGATGTCAATGGAGTTGTGGACCTGATGACAAATCTTTATGACCGCGGTCTTCTAGACACTGGAGAATATGTTGTCATCTTTGTCGACCATGGGATGTTTGATGTCACCGCACCGCTCAAATATTTCAGACGTATGTGTATATACTTCATATAAGACAAAGCATGTCCCTCTATTTGATGTTGTTCACCAGTGATATGCAAATATTAATGAGTTTTGTTGCTTTGTATTTCAGTTTTAAACGTCTTAAAATTGTTTCACATGTCTGCAAAATAGACATGCTATGTAACTGCATTATTTTACCATTATTTTACCATTATTAACAATTATTTTACCATTATTTACCATTATTTACCATTATTTTACCATTATTTTACCATTATTTATCATTATTTTACCATTATTTACCATTATTTACCATTATTTTACCATTATTTATCATTATTTTACCATTATTTACCATTATTTTACCATTATTTTACCATTATTTACCATTATTTTACCATTATTTACCATTTTTTACCATTATTTTACCATTATTTACCATTATTTTACCATTATTTTACCATTATTTACCATTATTTACCATTATTTTACCATTATTTACCATTATTTTACCATTATTTTACCATTATTTTACCATTATTTACCATTATTTTACCATTATTTTACCATTATTTACCATTATTTTACCATTATTTTACCATTATTTACCATTATTTTACCATTATTTACCATTATTTACCATTATTTTACCATTATTTTACCATTATTTACCATTATTTTACCATTATTTACCATTATTTACCATTATTTTACCATTATTTATCATTATTTTACCATTATTTACCATTATTTACCATTATTTTACCATTATTTATCATTATTTTTCCATTATTTACCATTATTTTACCATTATTTTACCATTATTTACCATTATTTTACTATTATTTTACATTGTTTTAATCCACTCAACAGTTAGAAAAATCATTTCAGATATCACTTATCTAGAAGTGTACAACACGCGTAATATGTCTAGTATTTAATTGATACAACAGTAAAAATCCTTAGAGACCAATAAATATATTTCAAAATGATAGTTTTGACTTACTAAGTACAGAGACGAGACAAGATTATGTAATATATTATTCTAGGATATGAAATATATTATACCAGGATATGAAATATATCATACCGGGATATAAAATATATTATACCAGGATATGAACTATATCATACCAGGATATGAAATATATTATACCAGGATATGAACTATATTATACCAGGATATGAAATATATTATACCAGGATATGAACTATATTATACCAGGATATGAAATATATTATACCAGAATATGAAATATATTATACCAGGATATGAACTATATTATACCAGGATATGAAATATATAATACCAGGATATGAAATATATTATACCAGGATATGAAATATATTATACCAGAATATGAAATATATTATACCAGGATATGAAATATATTATACCAGGATATGAAATATATTATACAAGGATATGAAATATATAATACCAGGATATGAACTATATTATACCAGGATATGAACTATATTATACCAGGATATGAACTATATTATACCAGGATATGAAATATATTATACCAGGATATGAACTATGTTATACCAGGATATGAACTATATTATACCAGGATATGAAATATATTATACCAGGATATGAAATATATTAAACTAGAATATGTAATATAATATACTAGATTTTGTATATTATATATGTAGACTATCATGTAATGTGTATGATAACATACACACAGGTACTACTGACAGTCCCAGCGACACACGAAACATCGAAGCGTCTCGATCGCTACTCATCATCACATCCAGTCCTCCATCTAACCCAGATTACGAAGACTTTGAAATCACAGTCAATGATTACAACGAAAGGCCTCCATTTAATTTCCCTAACCCATTCAGAAGCAGAAAAAAGGTGAGTGATTTTTTTTTTCATAAGAATTACCTTTTCAGATTTTAGAATAAAGCAAATTCTTGTTTTCAAAGTAAGGACTACAATATCAAACCTATGTATAAATAGTTGATTTCGCATATAAGATAAATTCGATATTAACCGAAAATGTCGGTACAGTCTTGTATGTACTTAAAAACTACATAGTTAAATAAAGCCGTTATTTTTCATAAGATCTAATTTTAGAAAGACATAAGAGGATAACGATTTATATAGCCAATAACATATTGTAGTGTAAGGAATTCTAGTTCACAACATATTTTACGATACATCTTTTTACGACATCCTGACTGTCGAAATTAGGATCGTATCTGAGTATAGCATTATGTAACTAATATAGAACTGTGATATTTTATTCATGTTTAACATTTGATGAGGCTAAAACAGCAATACAGTTTAGTGAGACTATCTGATATCTCTGCGTAGATCACCGTTTATGCTGCTTACCTTTATGACGCGGTAATGCTGTACGCACGCGCTGCACAGGAAGTGCTCGACAGCGGAGGAAGCATTATTAACGGAACAGAAATAATCAACCGAATTCTGTCAAGAGAGTATGAAAGTACGTTTTTTATGTTTATGTTTACGTTGGAAATTGATTGACAATAAAATAAAAACCTGAATTTCAATTAAAAAGCAAAGATAACAATGGGAAATAACTTCACGAAACAAAGCTAAGCGAATTCGACAAGACGTTCCTGAAGAAAAGAAACCTTATAGTTCAAAGTAGAATTATATTTGTAGTATTATAATGAAACTCAAAACAAATACTGAAGGGTCAAGTGATAAAAGCTACACTTACTTTTGAGCATCGAAATGGAATTAAATGAGATCAAGATGGTGACTATGAAACGAAGTTATTGATAAAAGACCCCAAAGATAAGTATAGTACATTCTTATATACAAAATTTACAGGAAAACTTTTGAAACTTTTTGAAAATATTTACCATTCTGGTCTTTCATCAATAGGTATTCTTGGTTTCACTACCAAAATAGACAAGAATGGTGACGCGGAAGGCAACTATACTCTACTAGCACGAGTACCACACGCAACAAAATCTGCGTTATATTCTATGTTACCTGTGGGACATTTCGAAATGGCGACAGGACATCACGTAAGTCAATATAACATTTCATTTGTCGATTCGTGAATTTTCAACTATCACTGATACATATTTTGTGCCCTGTACTAAAGATTCGTTTCATGAAGAACATCTCCGAATTCGAAATCCAAAATTGACCACCATGCTGCCAACAGCTGAGTAGAATATAAATGTTGCGTTTCTGATTATATATGCTAATTTTGAGTGTGTATGCAATACAGGTGCTGAGATTTTTCCCGGGACAATCTGTCGACTGGGTAACAGGGGAGCCCCCAGTTGACCGACCTCCATGTGGTTACAGGGGAGAGAAATGCATTCCAGTGAAAGGTAAATCAGGGGTCATTACACTATCATTGAATAGTATTATTACAATGAACAAACAAAGCATAATGATATTTAATTCAAAGTCAACATCAATAAAACGAGAGCAAAATATGAAAAGGAATTTACATGAAAGCCCTTGAAAGCGTTCCAGGAGAATAGGGCTATTGTGTTTCGGAAAGGTAAGTGCCTTCTGTCGCCAGAATAACTCTAGTGCAATTAGAGGTATACATATATATGTATGTATTTGGCACATACTCTTTTAATACATTTTAGTACTGTTAGTAACAAAGCGTTTGCTTAGTTGAAAACGGTCGTTTTAAATGTCTTAAACATCGATAAGCTTCTATATGCGTACTTTGGTGAGACGCTGTTAAACATACAATGTACCTAGTAAAAGTTAAATTATCTTCAAGACATTCGTAATACGAAATTTTAGCGTAAATTATGTGGATTTTCATAATGTGTTTGAGAAAATACATGATAATATTTTTACAAAAAACTAATAATCTGACCAAAATTTTCCCTACAGAAGACTTATAATTTGATATGTTGTGTCATATTATATCAAAGCCAAGCATCCCGTAATTGTTAAGACGCGCGAGATGCGAGAGTTGATATGAATCCTGAAAAAAAATAACCAGAAAACCTTGTAAAGGAGTCAATTGTGTTTACGTTCCAAATTATTAACCGATGTTTCTGTGATTTTCCATTTGTTGTTTTGATTTAGGCTACACTTTGGAAATTATCGGCGGAGTCCTTGGAGGAATAACAATGATAGTCATTATCATAGCTTTGGTGGTGTATCGGTAAGTCTAATGGGTCTAATTGTTCCCTTGCTGTGAGACGTCTTCGAATTGACATCCGTCCAACACATTATGTCATTAAATTTCACGTTGCCATCATGTTATGTTAGCAGGATGGCTACAAATCGTGCTTGAGGCCCAATAAATCTTATACTAAATGCAGTTAGCTACCTAAAAGATAATTGAAATAATTTGATAATTCGTGGCATTACACATTTGAGAACAATTTTGTCTTAATATATCATCATTCATACCACAGAATAGAATATGGAGATGTTTAAAGGTCCACCAGTGTAATTTTTCCTGATCATTTTCAGAAATTGGCGCTATGAACAAGAGATTGCGGGTCTTCTATGGAAAATCCCGATTTCAGAGATACATATGCCTCACCAGTCTTCATCACCAAATGATCGCCGCGACAGTTTAAGTAGTAAGGTAAGTCCCTCATCTTCGCATTGTAATTTAATAACAAATGCTGTTTGATGGAATTTTCCCCTGGTAAAAAAAAAAAATTTAAGTGTTTTCTCATGAACGCTTGCTAAAAAGAGCGTCAAAGAATAGAAAAGACATGTCACTACAATTCTGATTTTTTTGGGGGATAAAATCAAACCCATGTGAAAGATTCTGTCATATCAGCCTTCTTTGAAGTTTGTTATTTTTAGAAAAATGTTTTGTTCGCTATTTTAAGTTTAATTTTGAATACAACATCGTACGAATTTCATTTCTTCCGTGAAAAGTGTATACTTCGTTTATTGGAAGTTGTAGACATCGACTATCGACCATTTTTCTGACATTTTTTGACAACAAAATACGCTTGAAACAAACTCCTTTTCAAGCTTTTTATAGCGCCCTATAACTTTTACAGTACTGATTTATGTTACATGGACAGCTAATATCATAAACATACCCTATAAACGGCGTAATTTGCAAAACTTGTAACAAAAGAAAAGTCTATCTGTTTAATAATGTTCTATAACGTAAGTCAGTAAATAGTTTGCATTGATATGTTACCTGTAACGAACGACAAAAAGAATAGCACCCTGCAATACAGAATTAACTGCATCATACGACTATTTCGTCCTTCCGGGATTCGAAAGTGATGCTTAGAGAAAAAAAAAATGTATTGGTGTTTGTTCGGGTGGTCTGTTGGCGCAGTGTTAACGACTCGCCTTTCATTTAGCCGTCTGGGGTTCGATTCCCGGAACGGAAGTGAAAAGGGAAGTAGTCAAGAGCCTGACTACATGGGTTTTCCCCGGGTACTCCAGTTTCCTCCCACAATTAGACCCGCGCGCAATTACATCCGGGTCAACAAAAGTGATTCGTAAAAGCTGAAATAACTTGCAATTGTTGTAAAATATATATGTATTTGGGATCGTTGGATCATTCGTCCACACACAAAACGTCTTCATGTCCGATTTTTCTGAGTATCTGACTTGATTTAGAGTGATCTTATACATTCAATAATACATACACTTTGCTATTTTTAGATCTCCCTCGGTAGCCAGCAGTCGTTTGACTCACGCATGTCGTTTACTCAAATCTACACCAGAACAGCCACTTACAAAGGTCAAATGGTGGCACTCAAGATTTACGAGAAGAAAGACTTTGTCTTGACCCGTAAGATGCAGAAACAAATGAAAGCGGTGAGTTTAGAACTATATGTAATGCTTAACCAAACATTGATGTGTTCATGAGAAAGTATATTATATAATTAGTTCACACGGAAATGATGATTCGGTCAGACAGTCGTTACTTTGATAAAATAAAACTCAATGATACACTTCTGAAAAAGTATTTAGATACAATTAAGTACGAATTATCCTAATCTGACAACAGGTGATATTACTTACTGAGAAGCGACGTTTTTCTCATACTATTTCATTACAAACCATGCTTGAATATTCATATGTTGATACAAACTGCCAGTCTCATTTAGCTGCAATAATGTATCTATCGAGGCGGTGATTGGTGATATTTGAATACTTCATATTCAATAGTATAGCAGCTCATAGTTGAAACCGCATATTTTCGACGGATTAATAGTGAAAAAATTCACTATAATAGTACATATATTCATTAAGATAGTAAATATATCATTCACTTTAATATTTATCCGCCCGGTACTTATAGTAATTAAATGCGATTTATACAGCTTCATACTTCATAAATCTTTTGAGATCGTTCTTTGTCATAGGAATTCACATATGTTCAATAAATCTAAATTAGGTACATCGGTTGAATAAATATGCTGCTTTTGCAATTTTGTAGGAAATATATTTATTAATGTTGTGTTTATACCACAATCAACTCTTCATGGGTGTTTTTTTATTTATTTATTTTGGAAAATTAATTTGATTTTGGCGTGGGATTATAGAATAGAAATATAGTAAACACCTTCATAATGATTTATTCCAGATGAGGGATATTCGGCACAATAATGTTAACCCCTTTATAGGAGCCTGTGTAGACCCCCCAACATTTACCCTCCTAACAGAATACTGCATCAAAGGCAGCTTACAGGTAGGTAAACATATCATCGAGGTTAATTTTTTTTATTTCGAAGGAGCCTGTGTAGCCCCCAACGTTTACCCTCCTAAAACTTTATATATCAAAGGCAGCTTACATCCTTACAGGAAGGTAAACCTGTTCTCGAGATGAAGATCTTTATTAGGTTTAAGTAATTTATTGTAACAACTGTGGGATCGTTCATGCTCTATTCCTGAACATTTGGAATATATTTAATGTGTAAAATGATGCGCACATACTATAACGAGTGATTATTTATAGTTTATGAAGCTTAACTAGACTGATTTCAATTCTTTGAAAGCTCGTATTACCTGCTTCGATGTACAAATGTTAAAATTGTTATATAATAATAAAACCATCATCCCTGGTTTTATCAACATGGTTTGTCTTTTTTATATCTGTCGTCTTCATATGACCTTAGTTGTTGCAACAGCGTAAATCGTTTCCATGTTGTTCCTCTTTATATTTTGGTTTATACTCTATTTCTATCGAAATGTTTGCTTTTTACTTCCGTAAATTAAGCATCTATTTATCTCATATTTACCTCTGTTTTATAATCTAGCTGATAATAACTAGTACGTGATTTCTGATTTAAAGGACATATTGGAAAACGAGGTCATCAAATTGGACGAGATGTTCATTGCATCGCTTGTGAAAGACATCATACAGGTAAGGCCAGGTGTTAGTCTTACTTGAAAATCTGGACCTTTGTGAATTATTTGATACTTAATTACTTCGTCGCAAATTCTCTAAAAAGGTTCAGAAGAGGAAAAAATGCAAAACCATATGAATCGTTAAAAATATACACAAGCAAATAGATGCAAATCTCCCCGCTTCTTCGGTTTTCCTTTTTAATTTTTTGTGATTTCTGCGTCGGTTTGGGTACCGCACACGTGTCTTTTTTGTCTGCTTCACATATCACACAGTTACGTTTCAAATAGATTTCAATTATCCGTTTTAAAAGTGAATCATGCTTATAGTCTTTAATAAAGTGTATCTCGCTATCTTATATATATACATATCACTTTGGATTTTCCGGAACCGCCTCCAAATTTCAAAATTTAGCCCCCTTAGAATCACTGACGAGTCCTAGAAGAACGAAACAGATGTATGATGTTATATATAAAAATGTTATATTTGGCTCTACTCTATCTAATTCTAAGTTCGTATCAAAACGTGATATTCACTTGTGCGTCTTTTGTACTACAGATAGGAATGAAAACATAAACGACCATTAAAGAGTGACAATGTTGTATGATACTGTTTATAGGGTATGCTATTTCTGCATGGTTCCGAACTTAATGTTCATGGAAACTTAAAGAGTTCTAACTGTGTGGTGAATAGCCGGTGGACTTTACAAGTGGCCGACTTCGGGCTCCTTGACGTGAGAGCAGGGACATACAAGATGGAGGATGAACATGCATTTTACAGAAGTAAATATATTTCTATATGTTTTTTCTGGTCAATTTTTTGTGTTTTCGTACATAATTTCATTGCAAAAGCGAATAATTTTTATTGTATTTTGTTTACCCTATGTTGGTTCACTTCTTCACATAAAAGAAGATCTGACTCATTATTGTCACATTTTTCATTCATAAATATACAAATTAAGCATGACACATAAACACTTCCATTCATACTCACCTTCACCCTCATCATCATTCCATCACCATCATCTTCATCATACTTTATCATACCATCTCATCCTCATGACATATCTTCAACATCACATCTTCATATAATCATGACAACAATGCATCACAATAAGCAGCAGTATCATCATCCACCACCACCACCACCATCATCATCATCATCATCATCATCATCATCATCATCATCATCATCATCACCACCACCACCACCACCACCACCACCATCATCATCACCACCACCACCACCACCACCACCACCACCACCACCATCATCATCATCACCACCACCACCACCACCACCACCACCACCACCATCATCACCACCACCACCACCACCACTATCATCATCACCATCTCCATCACCATCATCATCATCATATCATCATCATCATCATCATCATCATCCTCAACCACCTCCACCACCACCACCACCACCACCACCACCACCACATCATGATCATCATCATAATAACAATTCTAAATAACATTATCATCATCATCATCATCATCATCATCATCATCATCATCATCATCATCATCACCACCACCACCACCACCACCACCACCACCACCACCACCACCACCACCATCATCATCACCATCATCACCACCACCACCACCACCACCATCATCATCATCATCATCATCATCATCATCATCATCATCATCATCATCAACACCACCACCAACCACCACCACCACCACCACCACCACCACCACCACCACCACCACCACCATCATCATCATCACCATCACCACCACCACGGGCAGAGACGACCAACCACCACCACCACCACCACTACCACCAACATCACCATCATCATCATCATCATCACCATCCACTACCACCACCACCACCACCACCACCACCACCACCACCACCACCGCCACCAACATCACCATCATCATCCACCACCACCACCACCACCACCACCACCACCACCACCACCACCATCACCATCATCATCATTATCATCATCACCATCACCACCACCACCACCACCACCACCACCAACATCACCATCATCATCATCACCATCCACTACCACCACCACCACCACCACCAACATCACCATCATCATCATCATCATCATCATCATCACCATCCACTACGACCACCACCACCACCACCACCACCACCACCACCACCACCACCACCATCATCATCATCATCATCATGACCAACACCACCACCACCATCATCATCAACATCATCATCATCATCACTCATCATCACCACCACCACCACCACCACCATTATCATCATCATCATCCTCATCATCATCATCATCAGTAGCAGCAGCAGTATCATCATGGATTTGATTCCTACTGTCGTCTATATATTCTCTTTGCATTTTTGATGATAGTTAATACATATGAACATTTTCGTTAGATTCATTCTGGCGGGCACCTGAACATATTCGTAAATTGACCAAGGAGGCTTCGCAGAAAGGAGACGTATACTCTTTCGGGATAATTCTTCACGAGATTATCGGAAGGGCTGGACCCTACGGATACTGCAATATGTCACCGAAAGGTAAGAGAGACAACTCTTAATTATTTTAGGTTTAACAAAATGGCGTTACTTTTTATGAATTATGTTACGTTCTTACGAATCGCTCCTATTTGTGTTATATTAAAGTGTCAAGTTTAATCCATGAACACAACTGTTAGCATCTCATAACATTGTCAAATGTATGTTGGTGAATAAAACAATGGAAAGACTGAAATGTCAACAAAATATCACATTGCAAACTCAAATTCAATGAAACTCTGTTAAGATCATGCGTTTCGGGAGAATATGCGTTTTCTTCTTTATGTACACTCACCATGAAACATACATTCAATAAAAGATACCACTGTGTCAGTTGAAGGGATAAAAGTAATTAATATATTAAGAATTAATTTAATTTATAATTGTTGTTGCGTTGTTGATACATATTCATAATTATTATGTTTTAGCTGATTGGGGTTCATTGTATGAATATCCATAATGCTTATTTTGGTTGTTTATCGTTGCAGAAATAATAGATAATGTAAGGAAAGGAGGCCATCCAATATTCCGTCCAGACACTAAATATTTGAAATGTGAACAATACGTCATTGAATGTATGCGCAGCTGTTGGGACGAAGATCCGGAACTCCGCCCTGACTTTAGAGTGATCTCTAAAGCCCTATCTCCAATGCGGAAGGGCATGTAAGTGAAACATATATATACACGACATACGTTACAATTCAATAGTGATGTTATACAGCGTTTTGTTATGTAAAATGAAGGTATTTGTATTTTAAATAACCAAGGAATAAGGTTATCGAAAATTTAAGATAATTATCAATTGGTTATGCCAATTGAAAAACACGCAAATATATTTCATACGTTTTTTTTAAATGTAAATCTTTTCACGATATTTTGGCTCCACAACAAAATACTGTTTCACCTATAATCACAAGGAACACCTCAGTTAATTCTGTCCATTAACGATGGGTAAAGGGAGACAATTATTGGATACCAACATATATATCTACAATAAGGTACATGCGGAACATGCCTAAGGAAAACAAATGAATTACCTATGCTATATGAAATCCTTTTCAAAACAAAATACACACGATACATATTTTTGATCACCCAATATGAAACAAATACCCTATTTTTATTTTAATGGCAGGATAAAATTAATGATATCCTATAGAAATGGTTGATGGAGTTACATCGATATGATTTTTGCAGGAAGCGGAACATTTTCGACAATATGATGATGATGATGGAGAAGTATCAATCACATCTCGAAGAATTGGTGGAAGCCCGAACAGACCAGCTTGTGGAAGAAAAGAAAAAGACGGAAGCCCTACTACATCGTATGTTACCCAGGTGAGCAGTATACTACTGTAGCATTTCATGGACGTAAATAACACTGGCATTTTATCAAATTTGGCGGTAGGCAATTTTAAGTTTTTTCTTGTTAATGTTATAACATTCTAAGTACGAGTTGCAGTGAATATTTCATTGTTTTTAGAAGTATGCTGGGATACACGGACGCATTTTGGGAGTTAAAAGTCACATGTCTCATTGTGACCTATTACGATTACCCTTTATCCGACGTCGTGTGTCGTTAACTTTTAACATTTTCGGCTTCTGGAAAACGTCGGAACCGATTTCAATTTGGAGAAAACTTCCATGGCCAAAAGCACATCAAAATTGTAAATTAGACGATTTCCCCCTCCCTCCCACCCCCGTCCCACCCCGGGGTTTTTAGAGGCCAGTTACTATATTGTTAAATGTAAATTTCATGACCCCAGGGTCTCGCATATATATATATTGGAAAATTACATTTTTGAGCAGAATTTGTTTATTATTTTCTTTTAGAAATAATTCAAACTTATTTAACATGTTCAGCATAAGAAAACATATTTTTGTATACAAGAAATAACCCTGACTCCCCTCCAGGGGATGATGAGCGGGACGACAAAGAGTCAAAATGACAGAGATTTCAAAAAATCTTCTTCACAATACACTGATAAGGTAGAATCAATGACTCTCTTTGGATGAAAGTGTCTGAAGATGCTTCACTAAAATTGTAAATTTCATGGAATAAGGGTCTCGCATTACCCCATGTGGAGGGGGTAAAGTTTACTATAGTTTATATAGGAAAATTAATTTGTCAACATTTTACTTAATTTTTTTTACATTATTTTTGTTGGAAATAGTTCAAACTTCGTTCGAAATTAGTGTAAGATGACAATTGATTAAATGCATGCACATATTTGTCCTGGCTGATCCCCTGGGCAGGGGGAATTTGGATCAAATTGACTCAGATTTCAAAGATCTTCTCAATACCCTGATATGATAGAATCTAGTTAATACTGTTCATAGATGGAAGGGTTTATATTATATTTTTGGGTCTAATTTCTTTCAATTTGATCTTTGTTAAAAACCTTAGCATGAGACGGCAGTTAATGTTATGCACAGTTTACAATTACATTAGTTGTACAATGCTATTCAAGTTACCTTACTTTTTTAGCAGAGTTATTTCTACAACATTTTACAATAAGCATTGTTACCAAGGTGACCATTAAGACCCTTTTATTATTTAAGTTTTGTTCACTTGTGGATGTGTTATGGGCTATTGTTTTTACAGTTCTATCGCTGAACAGCTGAAAAGAGCAGAGTACGTAGAACCAGAGTCCTTTAAGTCTGTCACGATTTACTTTAGTGACATATGTGAGTTCACGCGGCTGTCTGCGGAAAGTACACCAATGGAGGTACGATATCTCGTGACAAATTAGTTTCTTTTAAAATTATTGCCAGTCAAGTGACATGTTTTTAATATCAATTCGTCTAATGTTTTCTGTTTTTTGTGGAAGTTATTATTCAGATGTTGGCAATGCATGTCACGAAGTATAAAATGTTCGTTTTTTTTTTTTTTTTATTTGTGTTCACTAATCAAAAGAAGCCGTAAACAGAACAATCCTAACGTAACACATCATGCAATGTATATTGTGTATGATATGTAGCATTTTGTCTCCTTTTAGGTCGTTAATCTGCTGAATGACCTTTATACGTGTTTTGATTCGATAATCCGGAGCTATGACGTGTACAAAGTCGAGACGATAGGTGACGCCTACATGGTGGTTAGTGGAATCCCAAACCGGAACGGCGACAACCATGCTGGTGAAATTGCATCCATGTCACTTGAACTCTTGAGAGCAATAAAAAAGTTCACAATCCGTCACCGACCCAACGAAGTGCTTCGATTACGAATCGGCATACATTCTGGTAACTATATCAGAAAAAATATAAAAGAATGAGATCAGTCTAAGTGAAAAAAATGTTAAAATTCATATTTGCGTGTAATATGTCATGAAATAAAACATGGAAATTGTCGTCAATTCAGCAGAAGATATAGATTATTCATTATCAAGAACGCTATTTCTAACTATCCTGGTGCATTTTTCTATTATTTTTTCAATCGATTTGCATTGTCCTGTCTGTCTTTTTCTATGTTTCAAACTTGCCTGTAGCATCTATTACAAGTCCAAGATAGCAAAGTAGCTCTATGTTGCAGTTATATTGATAGGTGCTATTCACTTGTGTGTCTTGGTAGTTTTCAAGGGTTTCTGTATAAAGTACCAAAGGAAATACCAACACGTGAACAGAGTCCTACTCAAATTCATTAAAAAGTTAGAGCAAAATATGAACAAAGAAAGACTTACATGGAACCCCTAAAAAGTAAAAGAGGAATACGATCAATTGTAGAAGAACAATAAGTGTATTCTGTTTCATCTTCTCATATGTATCCATACTTTATCCGATTTATGTCAGAGAGACTGTTGTATATTTATGCTTCAGTTATTTTTCATGTTGCTCCAATGAGATTTATTAGCATGATTTGGTTGTGTGTCATTTTAAGGGCCTTGTGTAGCTGGCGTCGTGGGACTAATCATGCCTAGATACACGTTGTTTGGAGATACTGTAAACACAGCCTCAAGGATGGAGTCCAATGGTGAAGGTCTGTGTTCTTCTCAATTTTTGCATCTTTATCGGTCGAGAAAACATTGACGTTGGCAGGGTTTCAAATTAGAGGTGTCCTAATTTAAAATGCAGGCATCTTGACCTAATTCCATGTTTCTGTCATAGAATTTATTTAAAACCGCGCTTACTGTGTGTTAGTCCATTCTCTTGCTTTAACTGGAAATGCTGCCTACGTCAGATGTCTGTTGCAGAAGAAGCAGTTTCCTAGTAGCAATAAATATAAATGTTTGTTCCACGATATCGACGTTTCACTGTGTCAACTCTGCTTCATGTAAGACGATAGGAAACGTTATCCACTGTGTTTAATATTTGGGAAATGTATCCGGCTTTAGGATTTGAGCTTAAAAAACTAGAATGTTCTTCTTTTGGTTTTTACAGCTTTAAAGATCCACTGCAGTAAAGAATGTAAAGTGTTGCTTGACAAACTTGGGGGTTACACAACAACAGAGCGTGGACTTGTTAGTATGAAGGTAGGGTCGTCATTATGTACTTCATTGAAATGATGAGATAGAAACATATGACATGTGAGGACTTGACATCATTTAATCACATGGTCATTACATCCCAGCGACATACCTCTAATTTTACCTATCTTTCTATCAAATTGTATATTCCTCAATCGCCCCCATGGATTGAAAATTCAGATCCTTTGCACAACTGACGAGTCCTAGAAGGTCGAAACTGTATTCATCGCTAAATTTGTAAAAAAAAAAAAAAAAAACAGGATTTTGTAATGTGCCGTATATGTGCCAAATAGATAACTCGGGGGTTGGATAACCAACAAAATTGTATAATATATAATATTAAACGAATGTCCTTCAATAAACGTCATTATAAAATAATCTAACAAAGAAACCCAAATAAAACCCTAAATATTATTATTAAACAGCGGGAAACTATTCTGGGACCTTTCTTCGTATGAATTGAGAATTCGTAGAGCACTGTCTAAAAATCAAAGTTGTGGTGGAATTATTTTCATGTGGTGTCAGTTTAAAATAGAGTGTGGACAAAACATAAAATAAAACTACATTGAATGCACTTTGATATTTTTATTAGTAGGAAAATCAAATTTAGAATACTGCGTCAATGAGTATAACTTGTAGGATATAATAATTCATAATGTTAAATTGATGCGTTTCAACCTTAAACACTATCTGATTGCTTATTGGGCATATGTAAAAAATTATAATGCATGGTTACTAAGTTATGGAGAATAATCATGCAAATTACTCATCATTCGATTATTGATAAAATCCTTTTAGACCCTAGTTGAATTGAAAATTGAAGCCATTTACATGTGATTGTCAATTCAGTGATTTTTTCATTAATGGTATTTGCAGGGTAAGGGAGAGTTGTTCACATACTGGCTAACGGACGAGGATGCAAGTGTTCGCCATGAGAGATTACGAAGATGTAGTGAATTATTCAAATATAATTCTCCCTGGGCACGTGAGAGTAGACGGGCATATCTACGTCACGTGAACGATGACTACATGGTGGATGAACCCCTTCCGGATTTATCTTTCCTAGACAATAACGGAGACATTCAGAAGGCAGATCAACCTATATTGGAAATTCTTAGGGAATGTGAGGTAACCCCGATACGAAGTGACTCTCCGAAACATTTCTCTTCAAGTTTGGAACGTGGTGAATCTCCAAGAACATGTAGACTTCTCAAATCGCCTATTGCTAATAAGATTCGTCATGGTCCGAATGGCCTCCTATTTGAGGAACGGCGTTTACGCAATATTGACCGGGCTGGCTCCGGTCAAGACATCGTAGAAAGAGCTGCTTTAATGTTAGATGTTGACGAGATGGACAATTGTGAAACACGAAGTGGTTCCTTTGATAACAGAAACCATGTGAATGTCATCTTGCCCAACTCGCTTCCTGGAAATTCACATGCACAGTCATATATGGATACCGGGACGGGCAACAACAATAACACATCTCAAAAACTTGCGATCGGGGAAAATATTGCTTTGGAAGAACATTGGCAAAACTCAGATATGGGTTCATCTCCACTGATATAGCTCAATATCATATTTGTCGCAAGATTGTGACGGTGTCATTTCTTCTGAAAACCTTTTACGATGGCCTATACGATTGATATACTTGAGAAAATGATATTGATAATTATGCCTACATTATGAAATCAAGGACTTACATTTTCATTACATGTTGATTATCTTCCATGATCAAACAATCAAATCAAAGTGCATTATCTTCCTTTAGACATAGGATGTATGCAATACAAAACCTAGTTTGTGTTTGTAATGTACAAAATGTTCTAACTTAATTTTCACAACACATAGTTGCGATGACTTTTGCATTTCAGTGATTGCGGCTCTAGATCAGTATTTAAGTTCTTACATTCCTTTTAATTTTATTTATTTATTTATCATGTTTTTGTTGAGGTACTGTTTGCTCTTTTTGTCTATGTCTGTCACAAATTGTCAAATGTGTTCACATGGCGTGGCGTTCAATTGTCATTCATTTCTGTCGGTGGCACCATGTTTGTTTCTATAATTTATTGTAGCAGGGCTCATTTTTTCCTGTGATAATCGAAACGAAACAAATTAAAATAAAAGTGTATATATGTTTTCTTCTATTCGTTATTTCATATTAATCGCTTAGGATAGCATGCAGCGGCGGGCTTCTCGCATTATGTTTAATGAGGTTGTGCCGACTACTACAAGAAAACCTCGCCTTAAAGTTACCCTGATTGTTCACGGGACGATATATCCAGCAAAACCTCTTAACGCTAACATTAACATCAATTAATATCTAATCTTAGATAAAACTGTATATCAGAAAAGGTTAACTACCAAAGTGAAATAAACGAAGGGGTCAAAATACAGTTTATCTGAAAACATTTTGCTATGGTTTCGAAAACATGACTGTGTGCATTTTCTGATTTTATCACAAAATTACAGGCGTAACAGTGTACCATCATCGCATATGTTTGTTACAAACACTAGTAATATTACTAGTTTTCATTAGAGGATGTTTTCATTTTTTTCCACTTTGACCTCGCATCATACTTCAATATTATTGTTACGTCATAAAAGAAGGAGTTGCATAGTCATTTCCAATTGTTTCATCTCCGTTACTATATATAATCATGCATTTAACAAAGTATCTAAACAAGGTTATAGATAGAATATTACATCTGTTTTCACTGTATAGGGAATTTATGAAACTCGTCACGATATTTTTTATTATAAGAGATTCGCTTGAAAAAGCTAAAAACACATTTACACAATCTAATTTGAATGGTTACGTATTTTAAGATAACCTATATATGATAGACCAACCATGCCTTATGTCCTGTCCACTCTGTCAACGGTCTTCGTATAAATCGTTCATATTGTCTCATCGTTTTATCGATTTGAAGCTTGAATTAAAAATGCGGTAACTGATCAGCACATTTTCATTAACTTTTTTCTGTAATGCCTTCATTAACGTAATTAAAGATGTCGTTGCGTTGAAAAGAGCTTAATGTAAAAGTTCACAAAAAAAGACTGAAATATATCCTTTGAAGATATTTTAATGTTGTATATAAGAATACTTAATTCAATGACAAAACATTCGGAAAGGGCATTTATACAAAGCAGTGGTAATGTTGAATAAGGTGAAGGGGGAGTAATTCAGTTCAGGAAAGTATGAAAATCTCTACATACATACATACCGCTGCACATTTACATGGGAACAGATGCGCCGTTTCCTGCATGCATGAATACAAAATATCTAACGAGAAAGTCATACCATTCATACTACAGCACACACACAGTTATAACATATAGCCAAATATGCAGAAGAAAAATTGGTCAAATATTCACCACTTACGTGTTATGAATGTAAATCGTCCTTAGAATACCGCGGTCATTCTATGTGCAATTAATATCTAAAATTAACTGGAATTAAAATTATTGTTGACTTACATATATTAATGTTTTGCTTCACGGAACACGTCAAAAACACGTGTTAAGTGAGAAATTTGACCTACAGGTCGGTGTTTAGAGTGTGACGTTAGCTAACATTTCCCCTAGGTTTCAACAATGTAGCCCACCTCCCCTAACGTCACTGACGAAACCTTGAAGGACGAAACAGATGCAGTTTTACTCATTATGTGGTTGAATATACGGTATCCTATTATAATTTTATATAGAAATCCAGGTATTCACTTGTTTCCTTTGTATATTTTATTTGTCATTTTCGATAATATCTTTAAACTTTACATAGCTGAAAGTACCGTCTGCTTCAAAAGTATAGTGTAGGTATAGGGAATTAGGTAGAAGAATTTCTTTGTAATATCTTAAAAACGTTTATACTTTAGCAGGAATTAAAGATATTTGAGGTAATACTAGATTCAAAGAATGCCAATTTTTCATCCTTATTTTATAAAGCTGGTGGTATAGACGATCAATACAAAAAGCTAACTTATGACATATATATTGTGAAATAGACATTGAAATTATTACATAATTCTATTTCATGGATTAAACAGACAACAAGAACGACAACTACATATGAATACTGTATTTATGAGTCACCAGGGACTATTATATTGAGATGCAGATATAAAAGCAAGGGTACGGAGCAACAATGATGGCAGTTAAAATTGTATCTATTCGCGGCAACCTGACCCAACGTAAACAACAATACTTCTAATGGGCTTATAGACAACACTGCACGAAATACATAATTGACAATTGCTTATTAAGTGTTCTAAATTTGCACAATGTTCAAAAAATTACCAATAATCATTGATGAAAAGATCAAAAGGCATGTACATGTACATATGTACGAGTCACTGACGTCATCAGGACAAAACACCTGCAAATAAACTCATAATATAGTTATACAAAGGCAAAGAATGTTTTCCAAGTTATGATAATTTCATCAGGTGTTTTCAAATATATCTACCAAATATAGGATCTTTCTGATATGAAAACTATAAGAAAGAAATGACATCCATAAGGCTAGATTGTCAATATCATTCTGACATTTCCTCTTCCCGACGGGCAGTAGCTGACAAGAAGACGTTGCAGAATTACAAATATGAAAAAAATATCTATAATGTAAAATACTTCTAGATATCAATTTTGAGCTTCAAGTATGCACCAAGGATGTTTCATAAAAATCCCTTTAATTCATATATGACCACACCAAATCAAATGGTAATACATTGAACTAATATCATCAAGCATTTGACAACAAAGATACCTTATGTGAGTATTTAGAAAATGTATTACGTAACTGCTTTAAACGTTATTTCAGATGGTTAGACTTTTTATTGTTTTAAAGAATGAAATATACACTTGTGAAATATGGATACCATAAAAATAACATAAACGAGAAAAAAGTCTGAACACTCTTGTATAACTTCCATGCAAAATACATCAAATCCACAAAATTATCAACTATTGAGTGATACATTTGCAGTATTTCAAAATGATATATTATGTATAATAAACATGGACAAAACTGGATTTGGATGTTGTTCGCCTATTATCCTTTTGAAGTCTTCTGGTGGTGTTGGTGGTGTTGATGGTGCTGAGCATTGTGATGATGATGATGATGATGATGATTATGATGTCTGCGGATTTTTAGAGATGCCGAGAATTTCTGCTTCCTGAAAGTAGATATGTTTTACAATAATAAAAATCAAAACTGACTTATAACTTAAGGAATGAGTACTAAACAAAATTAGTAAGATTTACCAAAAGAATCAATATAGAAAATATGAAAAAACAGATTTATTATTAGGAACTTATTCCTATATCTCACCTCAAAATAGCATAACATTTGATAAACAAACATTTTTCCTCTTAAGGATTCTACAATGAAAACGTAATTGTTATTGATGCAAAGATCTATTTAACTCTACTGTACTCACCTTAGAAAGCAAACGAAAGAAACTATAATGATAATGATAACAAGGCCCATCCCTACTGCCCCTCCAACCACCGGCCCCATCATGGGTTCGAACCCACTGGAAACTCTCACTGGAAAGAAAATAAAACGAAACAATATTTAAATTGTAACGAAAAATATCCAAGTCATATAGTAAGTAGGTCTAAGGTTAAAGCTTCCTATCAACATTAAATGCTGGAAAACAAAATAATTTAAAGAGGCACCAGAATAGTCAAAGAGACAACTCTTTACCTCACGGTCTACAGAAATTTGTTATAACACTATGATAAGATAGATTTTGATACCACCTTATACAAATACTGATTCAGCTCAATAACACCTGATTTCATCGTGTCGTTTTCCTCTCATTTTACATCTAAATTATGAAAAATTATGCTACTTTTAGTTTGTTTTTTTTCATTTACAAGGGTTTTGCCTTCAGTTCGCAACATAATATTTTGCATTGATGGTTTCTGGACAACAGAATCAGTGAAATATTAAATTGCTATATGGTACATTTGCGAAACAATGCTTTTATTTCTGTGGGTTTTTTTATTCAAATTTAGACGTTGTTGATGACATGTAAATATTGATATGTAAACTATGATAAAAAATTATACTTAAATATCATTTTATTTCGCTTTTTTTCCCGTAGCAATTATAACTAAATCATCTTGACTAAATTTTTGGGATATTTCTTTTTCACAATAAATACTGTGATCCGATTTGATCTACCTTTAAATGATGTATTTTGTTTGAAATGTTTATCACAAAATTTGTAACATACCTGTAGCCAAAGTTTTAGCTTTTACAACAATTTATTCTCTTACCTAGCATGGGTGGTCAGCCATATGATAAAGTTACGTGTTAACTGCTTCATGAAAGCAATAGTAAAACGTTACTTTTTATGAAAGATGACGTATATGACCCTAGATAGAATAATAGATCGTAGACCAGTCACGGCGTCTATGTAACTGCTATAGTAAAGTTTACGTCTGACACACGCCCTGAGAAATATGTTTAAGATTCACATTTACACAAGGAATAATATATACCGAGTCTTTTCTGAGAAATGAGGTCAACCAAGATTCATCATACAGTGAGGTGTCAACGGGGAATAGAAACTGCTATGCTTATGGTACAGCTATAAACGAATGGTTTGATATTCATTTATGCGTGAACCTTGTCAGAACAGCCCTGTTAGTGTCACGTGTTGGTGATAGCAAGTCTCGTCTTGACAAAGGCCATTTCAATATGATAAACACGTTTCCTTATCTGATATTACAGTGTAAACAACTTGGACATTCTTAAGAAGTGTTTGTGTCATATTTTATCGTTAACGAGTCATTAATGTTTCTTAACTGTTTTTGATTTGATTAGAACATTATCAGTTTTCTGGTTTGTCCTTTTCAGCATCTGTTAAATATATGCACAGGTACGTAACTGAAATTTGCATTCATATTTTAAAACCATCATGCAATTACATTTAACGATGATGCCCTCCCGAAATAGCAGTTATTCAAATATCTAAATGCCATTCACATCAAATCAACAGATCGCGTTTAAGTGGGTTAATGTAATTGACACCAAATACAAAATCTTTATTGTTTGTGCTGTCTTTTGTTTTCAGTGATGTATGCTATAGAGGAGAATTAATTTCTTTTTGTTTTTTATCTTTCCCTTTTGTTTATTAATATGTCTGTAAGGACTAATGTATTGTGCATTCTGCATTGTACATGTATTAATCACGTAATGCCTCCCTGTACATAAAGTGTTATATCTTTCAGCAGTGTATTGATCAAATTGAGGACATGTTTCACTGCTATATAAATCAGCAATAAACTTGTTATTTATTTACTTATTCATTTATTGATTTATTTACTTATTTATTAATTTATTTATTTACGTTTGTGTCAGCTTACAGTTGTTTTCGGGCTTCTCGTTTCAAGCAATTAATTTTCATCGGTATTTTATCATATTCTAATTTGGTTTTCTTTTTGTGTACATTACATTAATGTAATTGACCCAGATTTGTATGTAACAGCTTTAGTTAATCTCTCAAAAGAAAAGTTTCATCTTTGTATTCTATTCCAATTTCATGATATTTCTTCTCGCACTTGCAATTAAAACAAGTTTGTGTAACAATTTTTCTACAGTAGAATAGATAAAGTTTATATTGATCATAATAATGTGAATGTTGTAATTTTGTATTCTAAAGTCAAAATAGGTGGATATCTTTCAGACTCGGTACCTCTTACCTGCAAGAAAATTTCATGTTATTTCTTATTATCCTTTTGTGTTCAATTCATACCGGAAATTCTTGTTGTACAAATTGTATTTGATAAAATAATTTTTCTTACCTTTGTCATTTTAAAATTTATTCATTTTTTGTATTGAATTGATAATATTTTTGTCAGTTATTAGACTGTTGTCAATCACGGTAAAACATCAAAACCTTGTATTCTTTAACATTTCATCCCAATTTGTGACAGTGACGAAGTGAAGTATAAGCAATTTGAAAAACAAAGCATTGCACCTGGCATAGACGACATTTAATTTTACGTATAAATTTTATATCGCTTTCATTTAGAGGGACTACATTTTTTAGAAAGGTTCTCAATGAAAAGTACGTCAACAAGTTAGAATACCTTATGTATAATACCCTGATTGGTACAATGATTATGAATTGTAAAATATCAATGTAATTTCAAAATATTCTTGCAATGTCAGGTTAAAAATATACGATGAATGGGGTATTGAAATCAGATCTTGTCATTGTTTCTATCTAGTCAATGCTGCTATTCGGAATATATAACAATTTTTTTACAAAGGGGAGTAACTCTTCACCAAGTAAAATGTTTTATTTTGCTGTACTTTTAAATAAAAGATGGAATTAATCACTGCTGTATTAATGCTGATTATCACAATAGTTTACATACCATCACAGTGAAGACCTGTCCAGCCTTTTATGCAACCGGACAAGCACTGACCATTCTCCTGGCTACATTTATCAAGCTTGCATCTTTTGCAATGGGTATCACATGTTCCGCCGTAAAGCCCTGGATTACACCCATTTAAACAATGCCCTGAAGTTCGATTGCAGTATATCTGGTCTGATTTGCACTCTTCCATTTTTGACGTGCATTGTTTACACCCTTGTTCACATGTGTTTTCACACTCGTCCCCCCAAAATCCAGAATTGCATATACGGCATACACCTGAAGTTTCGTTACATTGTGCACAGTGGTCATTACATCTGGTCAAACAACGTTTTCCATGCCATCCTTGCAGACACCCACGAAGACAGTTGCCGGTTATGTTGTCACACTTTCTTTCTGTGCCAACACAGTGATCACTGCAAGACTGACATCCACTAGCACTTGGGTACCACCCTTCAGAACACATCAGGCAGGTTTCCGATCCCGTACTATTAAATTCGCACCATGTGCAATGAGATATACTACACTTCGTACTACACCCAGACATCGCCACGCTTCTAGGTGTAGTACCGCACCCATCAGAACATTTGCCTACACGCTCGCATGTTGCTTGTCCCTGTTCACACTTGGAGCAAGGACAACAAGAATACATATACGGGAACCAGCCCTTCTCACATGATTTGCACCGTACTGTATTCACATTTGTTGCATATTCAGTGCATTTTGAATTTGAACATTCACATGACTTCTCTTCAATTTCATATGCATCACCACAACTTTCACAATGGATTTCCTCAGTAAAATCATCATAGAAACACGACTTGCATTTGTTTGGACAGTCGTATTGACACAGAAGTCCAGCTTTTCCAGGCGAACATTCCAGACAAGATTCTGTGGAATCGCATGAAAGACACCCAGGTGGACACCGCGTACTACAAAAATCTCCAAACCAGCCCTGCTTACATCCAATGTCACATATACCAGTATTCAACTGGCATCTTTCTTCTTCACAGTTTTTGCATGCGTCAGTGCAATTGGCTCCTACGTACCCCTTTTCACAGATTAAGCAAGCTCCACTCGTTATATTGCATAGTTTACAGTTATCTGGACATTGGTTTTCACACTGGATTCCCCAGTAACCAAGGTCACACGTTTTACAAATACCCTGATCATTATCACATATCGTACACGTTTCATTGCACTTGGAGTCGCAGTGATGGTTATGCCATCCTTCGTTACACCCATTTAAGCATACACCTGTCTCGTTGTTACAGGGATTGCCGTCCCCAGCACAGTTTTCACTGCAGGAGTAACACCCCTCTTCGTTGGGATACCAACCGTCTTCACAAAGAGTACAAATCTTGGCATTACCTCTCGTTAACTGACAAAGAGTGCAATGCTCATCACCGCAGGGTAAGTCACAGCCGGACACTGTGGAGTAAAACCCGGGCTCACATCCTTTAGTACATCCTTGCATGCTGTGACAATTTTCATTTCCTCCCTTGCAATGAGAGCATGGGCAACATGTACCCAAGTATTCTACGGTGCCATTTTTGCATTTATTGCATGCACTTTTATCTCCCATCGTGGCAAACTCCAGACACATGTCATCGCGACATGTGCAGTCCTTGGCCGGAAGTTTCAATCCAGATGTACACTCCGTACATGACACTTGTTCGGACGTAGGATCATACATACATTTACTACAGACGCTTGGACATTTGATATCACATTTTATGCCAGCTAGCCCAGGATGACATATTGAACACGTGTCTTTGTCGTTGCAAATGGAACAGTTTTCTAGGCATCTGTCTTTGCATCTGGCACCGAACCAACCTTCTTCACACTCGTAAACGCATTCACCGGATATCCGTCCGCAGTGTCGTTGCCAACAATGTCCACATGTCTCTGTGCAGTTAATACCATAATAACCTTCATTACAGGATCGACATTCTCCTGTATTCATATCACAAGAGATACAATTGTCAGGGCAGTCTTTAGTACACTCCGGGCCCCAGCGAGCTGCCTTGCATTTTACACAGGCTCCTCCATTATTTTCACAAGCAAGACATTTTTCCTCACAAGCGAGGTCACAAAACTCACCATACCAACCACGGGAGCATTCAATACATTCACCATTTGATCGGTTACACCAAGCACAATTTTCATCACAATCGAACTGGCATAGATCACCGTAAAACCCACGAAGACAGTCATCACAGACACCAGACTCTGGATTACAACCCGTCAAACAGCGCTCACTGCACGTTGAGTCTGTCAAACATGCATTAATGTCTCGAGTTAATGGCACTTTTAATTAGTTAAGTATAAAGTAATGGATCGAGTTAATGGCAACTTCAGTCGGTTAAAATTTACATTAATTGAGGAAATGACCATTACAATAACAGATATTTACATAATAGACAAAATTGCTTTACACAAACAATACGAATATATAACCGTTAATGACAGGATACAGTATTTAATATATGCACGCGATAACTTAATGCTTATGACATGATTTAGCACACTGCGTTTATGCATCAAAACTCTACACATATTTGCGCATAGACTTAAGTTCCTTTAATTAAAGATATATTAATTCTAATGAAAACCAACCCAAATTTAGTTCTCACTACTGCAAACTCCCAAATCTAGTTTTCACTACTGGAAAATCCCAAATCTAGTTCTCACTACTAAAATAACTACCATATCTAGTTCTCACTACTGAAAAAAACCAAATCTAGTTCTAACTGCTGGAAAATCCCAAATCAAGTTATCACTACTAGAAAATCCCAAATCTACATTTGTAATTCTAACTACTGAAAAATCCCAAATCTACATTTGTAATTCTAACTACTGGAAAATCCCAAATCTACTTCTAACCACTGGGAAAATAGAGAAATGTTGTTCCAGCAAATTAGAAAAAAAACTATATAGTATAATATTCTACCTTTTATATCAACAACCTCTCTGATATCTGCGTTTACAATATTATCATTACTCTGTGGAGAGATAAGAAATAAATGAACTCGAATAATGACCTTATCCCAAATTTCTGGGTTTTTCGAGATTGCATATCACCAACAAAAATGATATATCGAAATAACCGCTACGAAATCATTCAAAATTTCAGTATATGGTGAACAACAGAATTTGTAGTAATGTAACACCAAAATACTTACCCGGCGATTGCAAAGACCAGGAATGAGACTCCACTCCGTAAGTAAGCCAGACAGTCATCAGGAACAAAACAGTAAGACACCTTGATGCCATCTTTTCATACATGAAACCTGGATCCGTATTTTAAGCATGCGACGAGAGGGTCTAAAGTCACAATAAGGTGTGTTTCTTTAAGTACGACATACCATTGTGGTTTGCGCGCATCCTTTGGCAACAATTTGTCCGTGTCTACTGCTCCCTTTGAAAGACACAATTTTGACAATCCACGTCGGGGCTATTGTCTTACGTTAATTATTCTTAGTTTGCATAACATATCTAGACAGCGTTACTGACCTATCTCCGGTTGTTTCCGTAATAAATTTCATTATCCTCTGGCAACGAATTTAAATACTGTCCACCGTAATGAAATTGTGTTTCTTACTTAATGTCCGCCCACGTCTGCTATAAAAATACGATATAAATAACATATATTCATATGGAAATGTATACAGGTCTTCTTATCTTCGACCGTTTAATTAACAGCTTGATTTAATAAACATTATTTAAAAAGCAATGAAGTGTGTGTTTCAAGTATGAGATTGACGGCCTCCCGTAAAAGCTAACAACTACCTTGAGGTCAAAGGTGAGTTTGTCTCGATGATGAACTTCTGGCTTCTATTTGTCACCTCTGTACAGGTGTTTACCTAGGCTTAAAAAATATGTTTCCTCAAAGTCGTATCTTGTGTCGTATCGTAAATCACATCGTTCGACAGCATGATTTGACAAAAAAATATTTACGACTTTAAAACATGTTTTTTCATTATGCAAATTCACTGATAAAGGTTTACATATATTTCTGTTGAGATAGTCACATACTTTTAAAATTAGTTATGTAAATTTCTTTTCTTTGTGGATAAGTAATGAATTGTTTTTAAAAATAACTATACTTAGAACTAATAATTTAAAAATGTATTTGAAATTCAATTCTCAAAAAACAAGATGGAATCCAATTGTTTTCAAATATTCATTGAACGACATTTTGAACAATACTGCTTTTATGAAACGTCCTTAAAAACACCTTAAACTGACACCTGCCGCCGCCATATCAAAACAGGCAAACATTACATGAAGTTTGATGTAATGAAAATATGATGAAGATTAATGTTTCCTCGACTCACAAACCCGTCCTTGTGTATCACGCCCAAGCTAAAATTAAAACCTACTAATTAAGGAAGTATTGTCTAGGGGACGAATTGGTCAAAGTGTTGATGGGACCACGTGATACATGGAACGTGGTTTCAGAAGAAAAGATGCATTGCTAATGGTATTGTTTGGTGATAGAAATTGTTTTTGTCTGATGTGAACCCATACGAGACGATGCTTTGGTATTTAAGGCGCAAGGGGGCCTATGGAGATGTGCTAGTCTTTGTCCTTTTTTCTTAAACATGGTCCTGCATAATAAGCTTTAGCAGAACACAGTAAATCGGAATGTAAGGAATGCTACAACTTATTCAACGAGATAAGAATATACATGCATCACTTTAAAATTTAATGTATTTTACAGCAATTGAAAAACAATTTTTTAAGCTTATATTAATCAATCTTGTTAGCCCCGATAGAAGCGTACGAGAAGTCTTACTGTGAGAGGAAACCGGAGTACCCAGTGAAAACCCATGTGGCCAGGCAGGTGACCACATTACTTTTCACGTCTGTTCCGGGAATCGAACCCCGCACGTCTAGGTTAAAGGTGAGTGCGTTACATCTGCGCCACCAGATCACCATTCAGTATAACGGTAACTGTACATAGCTTTTTGTGACATAATTATTGCTGACAAACATGTATCGTAATGTGAAACCTCGTCGAATATTTCTTATGTAAACAGAATCGTAATTCAGACTTGAAATAATTGAAACTTGGGCAAAACTACAAACAAATGAAGGAAAGACATACTAAGACCATAAAAATATACAAAGATAGTAAATGTTCCGAAAGGGTTCTACTCGGAACTCTTTGCAAGGCATGCAAACCCTTTGACACAAAGTAAATAAATGCAGGTGAACAATTAATTGTGATTTAAGATGTGACTACCTTTCCAACACAAAGAATGATTTTATATATAAAAAAACATTGTTGAAACTGGAAATGGTATTTATTCATATGTTTTTTTAAATAAACGTACATTTTACTTAAGCACATAAAACATATGACAAAATACTGATTGTCTATTTTATGAGTATAGTTAAAAACAGAACCAACACATGATATTCTAAGTATCAAGTTTAAAATATATATGATTGTATATACCATCTGCAGTTTTACTGATGTCGCCTATTGGAAATTTTTTTCTTAATTCTATATATCAGATGAGACATCCACGAAACTACGTAAAGAGTTGGTAAACTGCATTATACAGACAATCATTGATGTAATGTTTTCACAAGACGACGAATATTGCATAAAAAATCTGACAATAAATAAATCAATTCATAAATGTAAACTACCCGTGTTCACCAATAAATCTGTTCATGAATATGTTTTGAATGACGTTACAAGTCATTTAGATAATTTATTATAATTCATAACGGCACTCGCGGTTTTTTGTTGATTATTTTTCATTCTTAAACGAAATTACAATTTTTGAAAAAAAAAAATTAGTTTTGCTCTCCAATTTATGTGCAGATCAAAATTCCGTTTTTTGAACGATTCAGACTTTTCATGTGTTTTTTCAATGTTTTTATATCAAGTGGTTCGTATACTCTCAATCGAAACCGTGACATTTTACCAGGTTTTGTAAAACGCATTTAAGACGCAGGCTAACTGTAAATACAACAGTCATTAAACATATATGATGTACAGTATCTATTTTCAATTTGGCTACATGATAATATACAAAACTTTCAGCAATTCTTCAGACACAAAATAACCAATATACACCAGCTACAACAAATGTCAAGTTATGTTCGTAATTGCATTTAGATGTAACTGTCGGAACAATCAAAGCATTTAATGGTCGTAGCAATAAACATTTTGTTATTATAGCAATCAAATTATCACTTATAGCTATTATAGCAATTATATCATTGAAATGTTGCTTTTGTAGCATTTATGTCAATAAAATGTTGCTTTTGTAGCATTTATGTCAATAAAATGTTGCTTTTGTAGCATTTATGGCAATAAAATGTTGCTTTTGTAGCATTAATGTCAATAAAATGTTGCTTTTTTAGCATTAATGTCATGAAAATGTTGTTATATCACAATTCTGTTAGTAGGATGTTGTTATTATAGCTATCATGTCATTAAAATGTTGTTATTATAGCTATCATGTCATTAAAATGTTGTTATTATAGCTATCATGTCATTAAAATGTTGCAATTGTAGCCATTATGTAATTTAAATGTTGTTATAGCTATTATGTCATTAAAATGTTGTTATTATAGCTATTATGTCATTAAAATGTTGTTATTATAGCTATTATGTCATTAAAATGTTGTTATTATAGCCATTATGTAATTTAAATGTTGTTATTATAGCTATTATGTCATTAAAATGTTGTTATTATAGCTATTATGTCATTAAAATGTTGTTAATATAGCTATTATGTCATTAAAATGTTATTATAGCCATTATGTAATTTAAATGTTGTTATTATAGCTATTATGTCATTAAAATGTTGTTATTATAGCTATTATGTCATTAAAATGTTGTTATTATAGCTATTATGTCATTAAAATGTTGTTATTATAGCCATTATGTAATTAAAATGTTGTTATTATAGCTATTATGTCATTAAAATGTTGTTATTATAGCTATTATGTCATTAAAATGTTGTTATTATAGCCATTATGTAATTAAAATGTTGTTATTATAGCCATTATGTCATTAAAATGTTGTTATTATAGCTATTATGTCATTAAAATGTTGTTATTATAGCTATCATGTCATTAAAATGTTGTTATTATAGCTATTATGTCATGAAAATGTTGTTATTATAGCTATTATGTCATGAAAATGTTGTTATTATAGCTATCATGTCATTAAAATGTTGCGATTGTAGCCATTATGTAATTAAAATGTTGTTATTATAGCTATTATATCATTGAAATGTTGCTTTTGTAACCATTTTGTCATAAAAATGTTGTTATTATAACTAATATGTCATTAACATGTTGTTTTTGGTAGCAACCAACACTGCGAACGGACATTATAGATATGGACATAATACACTATCGCAATCCTTATTTCAAAACAAGTAAATATCAACAACAATATGAAATACTTCTCACAAAGCCGCCTACGACGTAATCAGTCACAAACACGTTATGCACATGTACTTAAATCAATTCATTAATTTAATTTATGTGATGGTGAGTCGAGTTATTAGTAAAATTGGGATTCGCAACGATGTTGACACAGTATATATGGTTGTTTGGAAATAGATTTTCTAAACCCGTCAGCCCTAGTGGCAAAACCATCGTAATTATTTCGTGTATATTTTTGTGGTAAACAGGAATATTGATGTCGACTTAAAAACAAATATGAAACACGTGCATGACTATCGTAATTATTTCGACTTAACAGGAAAATAAAACTCTATTAGAAGACTGGCTAGGTTAGGGGACTGATTTTACAACTCCCTATTTCAGTTCACATCCATTAATTTGATCTAAACGTGATAGTTTTTATTTCCTTTTATGAATTTCCATTTCTTAAGAGTAACATACCTGCTTCCAAAATCAAAGGTGATTCCGAGTCGCATCGATGTCAGTATTTAATAATTTTAGAAAATTTTGTTGATAAAAAATATGGGATCATTATGTGTTCCCTCTCATGATCTCATAGCAAAACGTCTTCTTTTAATGTGCGACATGAATCTACAAACGTAGATGTGTTCGATGCTCAAACTTAATTTATTTGGGATGAACGATTTGAGACAATACTTACCTCCTTGGATTTATCAAGGTTTAAATGGCGAATGTCATCGCTTAAACAAAAAACCCTTATACTTCCGAATAAATCTGGTCTTATTATCTTTTGATCGGGTCAGTTGTGCCTATAGAATGTTTCCTTTTCTTCAGAGCTTCATACAGTTTAGAGGTTTGTAAAGAATATCAATATGGCAATTTCCTCTGGGTAGAAAAAATAAAATGGGTATTTTTTCAATAGCATACAAAACTACGTTTATTGAAACTTAATTTTAAGTTTTAATTTTAAGTAAAACTTTTATTTCAGTTTTGATAACTGCATACAACTATAAAATCACATGAATATATAAATATTCATAACTACCTGAAGTGAAGGTTTACGAACATATTGTGAAAATGTTCATATTTTTTCATATTTCGTTTAAGAACTATTCATAATCACAAATACATATTTCATACTCGCGAAGTTTAGAGTAAAAGCTACATGAGTTCGCATTTAAATTAAACTTAAATGTATTTCAGCTCAAATACTTTTTTACATTAAGTTTAAAACAAAGTTACCATTTAAAAAGAATCCGGAACTACAAACCATGATGCTTTTTACTTTAGGTGCATGTAATATATCACAGTTACTTTAGCATATTAACAAATATCAATGCTATAACATCAGCCAACACCGATTGGTATCTTCTGTAAGGCTTTGTTATGTCGAAGTTGTAATAAAGAAAACGAATAACATACAAGACTAAAATAAATATAAATACGTAAAAATTTGTATCTCTTTCCTCTAAATACACATTTGAGATATCAAGGCTTGCAACAATAGCTTGTACCTGTATTTATAGTGGAATGACAATGTGTTACAAACATATATATTAAAAGCATTACTTCATTAAATGTTATATATACATGTATGTACTAAAAAGCTTAATGAACATAAATTTTGAACAAGTCAGCAGTACATCAGAATCTGTGTCTAAAGTTTACTATACTCACACTCTCGATAAGCTTTATTTTGATTGCTACACGCTTGGCAGTATAACATTTGTCTAATTCCAAACATAACATGAAAAATTAATTGCAATTATATTATAATTTGCTGAGACAGTGTCAATATAAGTATTCAGTTCAAGTTTTATTCGCATTTAATATACCAGTTAGAGTTACCTTTCCTGAAACGAACTCTCTAAATTTAAATGATACATTCTTTCAAGTATTGGTTACTAGTGTTCAACCACAAATACAAATTTACTGAGTATCCCAAGCAAAACATTGCTTTACAATGTACTCTATAAACAATTCATACAAAATGTATTAAATTACATTCACATACTGACACTACACAGCTCTCTCTCTCTCTCTCTCTCTCTCTCTCTCTCTCTCTCTCTCTCTCTCTCTCTCTCTCTCTCTCTCTCTCTCTCTCTCTCTCTCTCTCTCTCTCTCTCTCTCTCAATCTCTCTATCTCTCTCTCTCCCCTTTCTCGCTCTCTCTATCTATCTATTTCTCTCTGTGTTATAACCATGAGGATGGCATGTTATCAATATATAGATGTTCGGACGGACGGACCGAAAATTGTAACACAAATGGCGTAGCGTCAAACTGAATATTTAAAAAAAACTGCGACGATTAGACTGCGGCTTCGGTGAATTCGGAACTCTCCGGTCCCACATATCCGTTATTACCGTCCTTTACCAGCATTAACGGCATCGTTTCCTGTTCCCGGAAGTAGGCGCATGAGTAATTGTGCGACTGCGTATTATTGTTTTGATGTGCATCAGGTATACTTGGCGGTTGAGTTGCTTCACACTCCACCTCTCCATCGCTGTGTACACAATAATCACTACTTGTAAGGTATTTCATAGACATTTCTCGAAGCTTAAACATACAATTCTCTTTTGGAATGTGTCCGTTCTGTGTCCTTATGTTATGTTTAGTGCCAACACCAGAATGGTCAGTGTCTGTCGGCTGACTGTCACGTGACTCTGTTCTAGTTAGTCTTTCTGTTTTCGATATTCGCCGTATTCTAACAGATGTTTCCTGGTCCTCTAGGAAATAGGTAAACTGTTCGCCTTTACCCTGTCAAAAATTGAACAAAAAAACCCTAAATTTTGCTACTACATTTTGTTTTATTCTCAAATATAGGGGAAAACAGCGAAGCGCATAGAAATACATTGAATTTCTTTTTTGACATACTTCATAACATTTCATTTTCGCACAAATACAATAGTCATAATTCAATTACGTTTTTGAATATCATCTGATAGTATTGTTCAATTTTCAAATTTCATAATGATTTGATTCTCACCTTCATTGAAACATATCCTCGCTCTACCAGTTTGTACCCTCCCAGTTTGTCGAGAATTGATTTGCATTCCAGACTACAGTGGATACGCAACGCTGAAGGGATAAACATTGAATATAGATCAAATTCTGTTCCATCAGTAAATCACATCACTTGTTGAAAGAACAGTTCCATATTTTTTTTTCTAAACGGACAACATTTGTTCATGTCGTTATAGTGACAGCCCAATTGTTAGATAATATCCAAGTTATGAAAAAAATGCATATATATGTATATATAAACTTTTTGATATAAATTTTTGTCTCTTCAAAACTGATGCCTACATAAAATGTACTATTTCTCTTTTTTTCAAAAAGACTTCCCATCATTTGGTATTTACATTGTAACAATAAAACTGGTAGATAACGGGGTATATTAACACTGGTAGATAACGGAGTATATTAACACTGGTAGATAACGGGGTATATTAACACTGGTAGATAACGGAGTATATTAACACTGGTAGATAACGGAGTATATTAACACTGGTAGATAACGGGGTATATTAACACTGGTAGATAACGGAGTATATTAACACTGGTAGATAACGGAGTATATTAACACTGGTAGATAATGGAGTATATTAACACTGGTAGATAATGGAGTATACTAACATTGGTAGCTAACGGAGTATATTAACACTGGTAGATAACGGAGTATATTAACACTGGTAGATAACGGAGTATATTAACACTGGTAGATAACGGAGTATATCAACACTGGTAGATAACGGAGTATATCAACACTGGTAGATAACGGAGTATATTAACACTGGTAGATAACGGAGTATATTAACACTGGTAGATAACGGAGTATATTAACACTGGTAGATAACGGAGTATATTAACACTGGTAGATAATGGAGTATATTAACACTGGTAGATAATGGAGTATACTAACATTGGTAGCTAACGGAGTATATTAACACTGGTAGATAACGGATTATATTAACACTGGTAGATAACGGAGTATATTAACACTGGTAGATAACGGAGTATATTAACACTGGTAGATAACGGAGTATATTAACACTGGTAGATAACGGAGTATATTAACACTGGTAGATAACGGAGTATATTAACACTGGTAGATAACGGAGTATATTAACAGTGGTAGATAACGGAGTATATTAACACTGGTAGATAAAGAAAGTAACACTTACGGACTCCAGTGGTCTCCATCCGAGACGCCGTATTAACGGTGTCACCAAAAAGTGTATACCTCGGCATTCTTAGTCCCACCACGCCAGCCACACACGGCCCTATATCAATAACATTGATGTTAATAAACTCATTAAATAAAGCATTTATACTGAAACCTCGGGTGCAATTATCTATTCATGAATGACATGATACATTTCTATAACTGTAACAGTTCCAAATCGATGCAAAATCTTTTCTTTAAAGTAAGATATCCTGGTGACGGGTATAAACGGAAGTAAGGACTGATAAAAATATTTAAAGTAATAACCAGAAATGTATTCTTCTACAGCAACTGATTTTAAGAACTTGTATTAAAGATAACCCAGTGAACAGCACATAAGAAACCTGTTCTGTGTATGGATTACCTCCCGTGAACAAGGTTAATGAATATGAATACTAGATAGTGTTGGAACTTCGCCGTATTGAAGACAGATAGTGGAAATATATTGCCCAAACAAATTAAAGGAAGATATGGTCATCATTCAGAGGAAAATATTCCACTTTTCATTATCTCCTTTCGAATATCTTAAACGTCGGTTTAGGTTGAAGACTTTGCTTTCTTGTGTCAGTAAGATTGTGTAAAAGACAAAAGTTTAATACAAAGTTATAAGTAGACACAAAATAGCTAAATAATGAATTAAACTACGTCATACAACTTTCACTTCATTTCAGGACTCGTCAGTGATAAGGACTTAAACTGTCAAAAATAATTCCAAAAGCCAGATGAACAAGTGTAGTCACCAAAAACTCCAATAAATTATTTTTTTCAATAGTGCAAAAGAACGACAGTCATTTGGATACGCATTCACACGTGGAGTGCGGTTTTGCATGTGCATTCACACGTGGAGTGCTGGTTTTGCATGTACATTCACACGTGGAGTGCTGGTTTTGCATGTGTATTCACACGTGGAGTGCTGGTTTTGCATGTGTATTCACACGCGGTGTGCCGGTTTTGCATGTGTATTCACACGCGGAGTGCCGGTTTTGCATGTGCATTCACACGCGGAGTGCCGGTTTTGCATGTGCATTCACACGTGGAGTGCCGGTTTTGCATGTGCATTCACACGTGGAGTGATGGTTTTGCATGGTCCGCTTTATTGTCCTTAGGTTTTGTTAAAGAGATTGGGGAATAGAGCAGGTTTCAGATTATCTATATTACTTCGAACTAATGGGCCATGAAAGAACAAAAAAAAAAAAAAAATGTGCACTTTTTTTTTTTTTAATTTGGCATTTTTATACCAAGTTGTATAGTTGCCATGTTGTAACTATACAAGACGATAAAGGCTTTTAACAGAGCTGAAATACTCTCTGTAGTATAGCTTGAAACAGAGATAAAGAGTAAAAGTCGACAGCCATTAAGCACAAGCATCATACGATGTTTATGATCTGAAAGGATTCATAAAACAGCTGTATGTATTCCACATTATTTTAATTACTCCACTCAAACAAACATTGATTTTTTAGAAATTAACTGCCGATCTAAATATACACTGATATGATATCACTGTGTTCGTTAGGTTTGAAACAAATTAAACATGATGCATTCAGAAAGAAACCTAATAGTTGAATATTTTTCAGATTCGTATTTTCATTTTTATAAATTTATATAAAATCTGGTTAAAGCATATATATATAACAGTAACTGTCAACAATTAGTATAATTTTATATTATTAAGGAAGCCATTTTGGTAAAACAACTATCGAAACAGAATACATTTAAAGTGCTACAGGATGTTTCATCAAATAAATACAATTGAGAAAGATTTTTGTCTCAACACTGAAGTATAAAATCAATGTTTAACGTACAATATGATAACCCAAACACATGCCTGCCTATATGTGTATCCATACATCTCACTACTTCTCTATATCAAGATAAAACAAATTGCAGAAACCATCAAAAGGTTCAACTCGTCGGGAATTAATCAGGTCTATGTAGATATGATAGGGATTTCGTATCCCTGTCGTTAAATTTCGTTGAATTAGCACACCACATTTGATTCGTGACAGCAGATGACATTTAGTTTAATAATTCCATTACTGTAAAATGAGATATGTTCGTGGTGCTTAATTTTCGTAGTTTTCAAAAACATAATTTTTCGTGAACGCGTGATTTCTTGGATAAATACATAGCGGAATAAATCTACTTAAAACTTATTTAAACAGTTCGTTGACTTATCAGTTCGCTGATTAAGAGTAACCACGAAATCAACGAACATGTAACTCGCAAAAAATAAAACAATTTCGCAACATTTTGTTATGAAGCCATGTGACTCAATCTTGCATTATTTAACGATATTCCCACTGAATGGCTATACAGAATTTCATTATCATCATTATTGTCTAGCTATCGATTATTGTCATTTTGTTTGGAACTACTGTCGAACCTCGTTACCACAAACTCGAATATCTCGAAGACCCCATTTGCTTCGAAGCATTTCTTCGGTTCCCGTCTAATTTTACACAAATTCAAATTGAATACTCGGTTATCTCAAAGTTTTCCAACGAAGTTCGAGAAAACGAGATTCGAGGGATCGTTATAATGTACAGCATCCCCATATTTCTATTACTAAGCGTGCTTATTGATATTTTAAAATCTTCTCTCTGGTTATCACTGTCATATCGACTTTGCTGCCGGCTTTCAATATTTTTTTTATCACAATGGTATCCGTGTGGTATATTACATGCAGTTGCAGATATTCAACATACCTGAATGTATCCCTATTCGTAGTTTTAGAGTATCGTCTGGCCGATGTCCTATTCGGAAAGCCTTTATTTCTTTCAATAAATGTAGAGACATGGACGCTATTTCTCCCGCGTGGTGATTTCCGTTCCTCAGGGGGAGACCACTCACAACCATGTAGGCGTCGCCTATCGTTTCCACCTTGTACACGTCATAATGTTCTATGATTGAATCGAAGCAAGTGTATAGCTCATTAAGCATGTCTATCACCTGTGAAGATAAAAATATATGCAAATCATATACACTATTTTACACCTGTGAGTATAGAATATATTTTATCATTAAATGTTTACTGCTGACAACTCCGTTTTTGCGCGTGTGATAAGACTGAAATTTCCAAAAGTTGGCATCAACCCGCTCTAGAAAGTGCTAGTACACCCTCTGGAGAGTGATATCACACCCTTCTTAAATTGTTTATGTTCTGCCGCCGCTTCCGCTTATGTGTGATTTGAATATAGATATTGTTGGCCTAGACGAAATGTATTTTTTAAGGATCCCACTAAAATTTCCGGATGGTGCCGTTTCCGGAATGCTTGCCCTTATCATTGGTACACCTGCTGTCGTCTGTGAACGTAAACAGCACATCATGGTGATGGCAACATGAAAAACATACGATAAAAAGACCATTATGTGACCATTTTGATATCACATCCCTCCGACTGATATCAGGAATATCGGGCTGATAAGGGATGCGATATCGAAATGGTGTTAAAATTATCTCTAAATACACTTGCAGTCTTTGATGGACTCTGTCACTCGATTCCACTGGAATGCCATTTTCAGAGATCAAACAATATGTTCTGGAAATTCAAATGATAATCAATGAAGCGAAATATTTACTTTTTTATCAGCGGGTCATTTATACCATGTACCTATATTATAGTAACAAGTTGCCATATAAACTACATGTAGATACAATATATGTTGTATATTTCACAATGTACAAAGGCATACGGTAAGGAAATTGATACAGTGTTTTGTAATTAATGCCCGTTTATCAGGCAGTACGTCAAATACAGACATAATAGGCCAATTTCAATGAATATACACTAAATATTCCATTTTACGTTTTAAACTAAAATTCCAATGTACCACGCGACCATTCTAAATATAGTAACACAAAGAAATTGTGTATTGATATTCAGTAACACGCAGTCAGGAATAAAAACAGAGCACTTAGTAATGTCATTTAATAGTTTTGCTTCAGTGAACTCAAAGGTTCACAATAGCATTCATCTCAGAACCACTGACGAGTCCTAGAAGGACGAACGAGGGGCAATGATTCAGTTTCATTAATTATTTAGCTACTGATTAGTCCTGGTACCACTGACCGCTGTATGATTATGAAGCAGTTTAATATTATTTAGCTCTTCTGTATCTTATTGTAGATATTTTTTTAGTTGACAGGTTCTATTCACTTGCGTGTTTTTTAACATAATCTATAAGACACAAAAATCAATTATATTTAAACTGGAAAATAAAAAAGTTCTAGTCTAGTTAACTTTATTCAAACCTTCACATCCCTCCAAATGGGAAAAACTAATTTGAAACCCTTTTTTTGTTTTTTGTTTTTTTTTAAATTTAGTTAAGAAAATGGATTCTTAATTTCCTCTTATTTATTTATTTGAATTTTATCTATGTATTTGTCTACTTATATTATTTTTTATCTATGTATTTATCTACTTATATTATTTTTTATCTTTTTTTGCACAAGATTCTGCAGTTAAAACTCTGATCAAAGTTTTGATCGATCAGACAATTAGGGGAAAATTAAAGCCGGATATTGTTTTATCGACACAGCACTATGTGTTCGCGTTTTTGATGGATTTGAGTTCGATCAATACTTTAACGAGAACCCTTCTTCTAGAATTAAGGACTGTGCAATTTGAACAGCTGGTTGTTGGCTGTGCACCGGCAAAACATACATGGTATGACTTTAAATGACCTTATCAATCCAGGCATCCGTACGAAAGCATCTAGCACTTGCCATTTGCTCAAGTCTATTTTCTACAAAGACAAAGTACACATATATTGATGACGTATATTGAAGACGTCATGCAATTGTGTGTATTTATTTTACTAAATGGGAAGTAAGTGTTTATTCAGCTGATGTATTGAGTTTTATAATTGCTGATCAGTAGTAGAATGGAATTTAGGTTGGTGATATGTTACCCTATCAAAGTAGATTGTAACCGTGAAAGAGTGTTTAATCGATTTTGCTGTCCTTTCAACACACTTGTATCATATGGCATCGTTCAGATGAAAGAGTTAGTCTCATGTATTGCACTAAATTTTGTTTGATCAAAGGAAAGTGAAATTGAATGCTGATCTGTTGTCTTTGAAGGACAACAATGGGTGCAGAAAAACGCCCATATATAGAAATTTACAACAGCTCGGATATGAGTGTGAAGTATCTGGGGGCATTGTGGAAATCGTTCACGGTTTATTGGATAACTACTCGTGTAACATTCAAAACTAAAAGCATTATCTAGAATCTGTAACAATACAGTTTTGAAACCAGATGATGTGCGTTGCATGCTTTCAACACAATCCTTAACTGACCTGGACAAACATTTCCAATCTAATGAAATTAATCTGTAGGACTTCATCAAAGCTATTAATATCTCGAGGAAAAAAGACCGCTCAAGACAACCAGCACTTGAGCGTAATCAAATCTCCACAACGAATTATGTAATACAACGGTGCCTCGGCCTGTCATTGCAGTACTCGATATTGTCATTTCAACTGTAGTCAACGGCAAGACATTACCATCATTTCAGGAGCAAATTGACAGCAGCACAACGCAGTTAACTCCATTGTTTGGTTATATTTTATTTCATTTCATTTTTAAAGATATTATCTATTCCAAATAAAATCAAATAGCTGTGGAGAAAAGCAAATATTCCAGAGACATTAAAATAAAAATGTGATTTTTCTTTACAAAGAAAATATTTCAGAGCACGAAATATCCTTTATAACAACTCAAAACATTGAAAACTTAATCCAAGTCTTAGGACAAGTCTCTACATTGCAAATTGTTGGCCAAGTTCCAAACCCTATACATCCGAATTACTGTTTATTGGCAGGTGATATACGTTAAGAAGAGCGATTGCTCCACATTGAGCATATGGTTTCTTTGATGTATTTTTTTTAATTTGAGTTTAAACTTCGTTATTTTTCCCTAAAATTTGCAATTCTATCTTCCACAGTTTGGCAAATTCAGATGATCTCTTCTATTTTGAACTTAAATGCACCTAGGTTGGTGATGATCGTCTGCTTGTAGAAACAGATATTTTGTTTTCATATATATTTTAAACATTTTTATTCGAATTGGCAATCATGTCAGCCACATCAATAGATAGCACATTTTTCAATATGACAAATAAAACGCATTGAATATGACGTCATCACACGTCATTAAGACGTCACAGCTTTAGCTTTTGAACTAAACTTTATCCAGTACATAATACTTCGTTATTCTATCTCAAATAACTTTTTAAAACCTCTCTGGGAATTGTTAATTTAAAATGAAAAGACAATATAAGAATGCCCGCGTTTGCATATACAACATTAAGTTTTACTCAAAGTAAAAGGAAACGTTCACAAAGCAACACATGAAAATAACAAAAAATACTGCAATGCATTCAAGCACGAACATTGTTGTCTGCTTCTTCGACGACACCCGCTTTGTTAATAGAGGTCAGATTGAAGTGGCAAGAGATGATGTATTGTCTAAGTTGTCTTGGTCATCAACCATTACTATCTAATGTGAAATGAAGTTGGACGTCTGACGTCATAGTGATCACATTGAGAAATTTCTTCGTGCAATATGAAGCTGGACGTGTTTGATGCCTGTTAGTTTGACAGTTGGTTCCATTGTTTTATACCTTGCTCTCATTCGAGATTCGGATTAATTTAGATTAATATGGCGGGTGTCGTCGATTAAGCAGGAGACGCTTTCTCTTCCGGAACATCTAATCTCATTCTCCTCGTATGTTTTCATGAGTCTCCGGGTAAATATCGCTCTTTTAATCATATTTGTCCTAGTTTTATTGAATATGATTAAAGATAATGTTAAAATTGACATATTGGTATTTTCTTGTTTTTTTTTATGCTCGTTAGTACTGCTGGTGGTTCAAGATTTACATAACGGGCGTCGTGGTTGAAGCATCAGACGCTTACCGTTCAGGAATACATGGTCTAATAACCTTTGAAATGAGTATTTTTTTCCAGGAAACCCCGAATATACCGTTATTTTGTACATGTTTCGTCATATTTTCATCGAATTTGAGTTTGAATCTAGACTCTCTTAACATGTAGGTATTTCTGCCCTGTTTTTTTTTCACATATGAGAGTTGGAAAGAGATGACTCATATACAAGTATGAATAAAAATAATATCATACATCAGGGACAAACATAATTAAATTTATATGTGCCCGGCTACCAAAATAATGTTTCAATATTATGGACATGTAACTTTGTAAATGGTGTTTTATTCTTCCACTTTTAAAGTGTCAGTGATTTCAAAAACCTTATGAAGATAACATTAGTGTGCAGCAATAAAATCCTAGATGATATTACCTCAGCTTAAATTAATATCCTGATAAGAGAAGTTATTGGTACTGTTGCATTTTATTATGCTATCACACACAGCTAATTAAAATACCTTGCAATTTCCATAATCACGTGATGTATGTATTTGCATTTTATAGACGACGTTAATGTGTCACGTGACACGTGCAAACCTCGCATACCACATAGTAAACAGAAATATCAATATCATCGATGCTACATTCTGTAGATGTAGCAGGAAATGTTTCCTTTTATAGATGTTGTTAAATCCATGAATCCTTTCCATTAGACTTAAAAACAAGCTATCGTCTTTCATTCATCTCTGACCTTAAAACGGATCGTGATACGCTTTGTAAGAAATGTTACTAAAATCTTTATTTATAAACTTTTCAGGAAATTAACAACAGAATACCAACACGTTAAAAGAAAAATCATGTCAGAAATGTTTACTTGACTAACTTCACATAAAAATCATATTCAGGTTTTTGTTTTTTTCCTATATTGTGGTAAAATTCACTGAAAATACTGTTATAAGAGTATGAGGGTTGGGATTTGAAACTCCACCAAGGTTCAATTAAGAAGTAGTGTCTGGAGCCATCTCATGCCGATCACACGAGATTGTGAAAAAAAACAAGAGCAATGACACCAGCACGAACCCACTTAAAAGTTTCTGTTTGTTTAACAAGTAGCCCTTTAGCTGTTGGAATTGCTTGGGTATACCCTTACAAATACATCGTATACATTAAAGGGGGAAATGTGTTTTCTTCATCGTCCTCTTTCTCAATGTTTCCATTACGTCAAGTACAAAAGTAGAGCTAAATTATAGCCAAGCACATAGAGCTTACCTTATTCTTAAACCATATTGAAACTGATGTATTCATATAACATAAAGTATAGTTCTTCTTTTCTATGGTTCAAATTTCCGCTGCTTTAGAATGCTTTTAGCAAAAAGGATTATTTGTACACAGGTTGCGAAGCGGTCCATGAATTTCTCTATTGATTTCCTTAAAAAGTCAATCACTTTTCGCAAGATTATCCCATCTTAGATTTTAACGAAACATAATCCCAGTCGAAAATATCAATGCTTACTGTATATACTGAACACATGTATATATGTATACTGCTTACCTGCATTGGAGTACTTTCCGCTGACAATGCCGTGAAGCCAACAATGTCACTAAAGTATATAGAGACGCATTCGTAATGTTCCGGTGCTACCATATATCCACGCTTCAACTGATTAGCCACCGACCTGTAAATGTGAACAAGAAGTGTCAAAATCTGGTTAGGTAGATTCCTGTATAGCACAGAACGTATTGTATTTATACTAATTTGACGCAGAAAGATTTGAAGAAGAAGAAAATGAGAAATACATATATCTATACACTTTATTATTTTACAATTGCGAAACAATAAAAAAATAAAATCACTCTTGTTGGCCCGGATGGAAGTGCGAGAGGGGTCTTACGGTGGGAGGAACCGGAGTTCCCGGGGAAAACCCACATGGTCGGGCAAGTAACCCCATTCACGTCCATTCGGGAAATCGAACACCAGACGGCTAGGTGAAAGGTGAGTGTGTCACCAATGCGCCAACCGACAACCCCAAAAAAGGAACACTTGGATCATCAGGGTAGGATACAGAAATCTGAGGAGGAATAACAATTTTTTCTATGACATTTTTTAATTGGCAGCTTTCACCAGTAATATGTTACTGAATAACTGTGATATGACGTCAGCAAATTTCGCACTTGCACGTGAACTCTGGATTGCGAATATCATTGACCTTCATGAGCCCGACTGACCTTGACACGTCATGAACATGAACCCTAAAGGTCACATACGATTCATGATCTAAAGTTCCGTTTATTCTGCTTATCGTTGCTCGGAAGGACAGAAAATCTTACCCTGACTTCGAAGTGTGAATATTTCTGTCCGATCGAGTAGAAAGTAAAACCCGTACAGAAAAATAATACGGATAAAACCTCTACAACCCGAAAAGAATCTTAAATCAATAGGGCCCGTTAGCTTATTCATATTTGCACTTTTACAACATATGTTTCATGAGCGTCAATGTAACATAGAAATGTTTTAACGAGGACAGTAATTTGATGCTTAATGTTATATGGACAGTAGTGCATTATTATAACTTCCTTTTTAAATACAATGATGACCATATGACGTCATTTATTTATGACATAACAATACTGAATTACGCATGTTTCACCTTACGGTATATATGACATGCGAGTACGCCTGAAAGGACAGGTCATCTAGACTATTTATCGAAATTCCGCTATACCTATTAACTCACAAAATCCTCAGGTGTTTTTAAAATAATATATTTCTGACTGAAAAACGTTGAAAAGATCATTTAAAAAAAAAAATCTTAAATCTAATAGCGGTTTCAAAGATAGAAATTATTACAGCAAAATCCACACACAAATTGAGAGGAGATGGACTTATCATCGTTTATTTTGACAACTGTTTGCAAACACATGAAGTCTATTACCACTTCAAGACTAAAGATACATTACGTAAGTACGTAAGCCAGACAGTCTATCATAAATTAAATAGGTAAGTGTCCAAGTTGATGACTACACGATGTATTCTGTATTTAATAGGTTAGTTTGTAAGTTTAAGTTCACAGACATCTTTCAGTCGCTATTTACACTGTCAATACTGTGGAATGTTTTTGCACTAGGTTGGATTAGTTTACATTTTAATGTATTTTCACTGACAGCAAAGGTATACACAACGGTGATGTGTGGTCTCGTAAACCTTGTACGAATATTTCAAAACAATCAGCTTCCTACCCCACTAACCAAGTATTTAAATCGACGTTTATCTAATGCATGTACGAACGGCTTGCCAAGCATCTCGTTCGGTTGAAATGAAACGGCAATTTGTACCTTGGTAACATCCTAAACAATAAATTCTCGGTCATCTTCTTCTCAAGAGAGAGCTGCTCGGTCCTTTGTGCTACAAGTGCTTCAAGGTTATTAGCATATTTCTCCATAATTGCTAACATATTGTCGAAAATATTAGGTTTTCTGAAAATGATAAATCAAATTATCTCATTATATGCAATTTGATACCGTTCAGATCTGGTTATAGATTTTGCTGTTCTTGACAAACAGTATGAATAATCGAATATATATATGGAATTTTTTAAGGGTTTGTTTAAGATGAAAATGTATTCCTTTTACAGAATAAGGCATATGATAAATAAAAAGATGTAAAGAATTTATGACTGATTATATAATCGTTAGACATAACTTTAGGTTGCATATTAAAGCTTATAGCTGTGTAAAATCTATTCGGTCGTATACTTACAGACCCTGTTGCATGGGTCGAAGCCTGTATCTCAGGTACTTGAAATCGGGACGAGCATCTGAATTTTCGTTCCAACTGTCGATTATGCATTGTTTAATATAATCCTCACACTGTAGAGTCGCTACGTCTGGTCTGATAACATGATCACCTCCCCCTCTTAGTTTGCGTATTATTTCTAAAGACAAACACAATTCAAAAGAAATAATTGCACTTCATCTTATATGACATAACGACTACAGAAGCAAACTTTCATGGTACATTGAACCAATGCTGAACTGAAACCTGTTCTAAGACTTAAGTTTTTTTCATTGTGTGAGTCTACTCAGCATTTTACTCATATCTTAACATTGATATATTCAAAATTACCTTGACTTTTAAATAATTTTTTTTCAAGAACTACCTTTTTTTTAAACAATACAGCAGTTACAAAGTGCTACGGCAACTCAATATTTAGTTTTAAAAACAAGCCAAGGTCGTATAATTGAAAATGTCACACTGATATTTAACTTATGTAGAATCTGTCGCGGATAGGAAATGAAAAGTTCATTTAACATGTGTTGGACGCAGAGGAATAATTATTGTTTACAAAATCATTTACCTAATTATTCTTTTTCCAAAATATCTTCCATTCCCAAAGATATGTGCACCCAAAGGGATTATAAAACGCATTTTGATATGAATTTAAGTAGATATTTTGTCTTGTGTTACGCGACAAAAAATGAACTGGCGATTATGGCAACCGTAATGTACCTTTCGGGGTAAGATCAATGTCCTCCCAGGGCCCTCTACGCGCGTGAGTCTCATACAGAATCAGTGCAAATGAGTAGACATCGCCTTTCTGAGAACCAAAAGTGTTATGACTGATGTCTCTTAACAGTTCTGGCGCCTTCCATAGTAAACCTACATGAAGAAAAACACATAACAGTGGCCGGTGTGAATAAGTCATTTATCACCGGCAACAAATATCGCACATAAACAGTTTAAAGTCTGGTGAAAGCCATCCCAAAGAAAATGAATTCACAGAAAATGCCACATAACTCTTGTTTTTAATATTATATTGAAATTCTCAAATAAATCTTTTCTCTATGGCATCAAGCAAATTAAACACGTCTTTTGTATTAGGTCTTGGATGATAAACGTGTCTTGAATGCATTGTACATTCTGTCTAATGATGTTGATTTAATATCTATAACGTTCTTATAAAAATAATTTTAAACAATATCTTTCAATTTCAAAATTTGTGTATTATTCTGTTTTTGACATTTTTTCTGCTTCATGGATTTTCTTCATTTCAAACATTTTAATCATCAGTAAATGTGACAGTGCAAAACCGAAGATTTCGGGCAAGTATACATCTGTGCCAATATCATATGAAGCATCACTTACTCGTACTTGTTATCCGCAGGATGATAGATAAAATCAAATAATTATATTTGAAATAAGAATTGAAGCTACGAAATATCAATATATTCTATAAACTCGTTGTCTGCACTCTGTTGATAATTTGTGGTCGAAGACGCATGCCTTTCTGTTTAATATCGTTCCTACCTTTATGATACGTATCTGGGTTGTTGAAGACACATGCCTTTCTGTTTGATATCGTTCCTACCTTTATGATACGTATCTGTGTTGTTGAAGACACGTCTCTCCATATGATATCGTTCCTACCTTTATGATACGTATCTGTGGTGTCGAAGACACCTGCCTTTCTGTTTGATATCGTTCCTACCTTTATCATATGTATCTGTGTTGTTCAAGACACACGCTTTATTTCTAACATCGTTCCTACCTTTATGATACGTATCTGTGTTGTTGAAGACACATGCCTTTCTGTTTGATATCGTTCCTACCTTTATGATACGTTTCTGTGTTGTTGAAGACACATGCCTTCCTGTTTGATATCGTTCCTACCTTTATGATACGTATCTGTGTCGTGTTTCGGTGAGGTATCCTTGTACATGAGGTGATGTAAGCCGAAATCACTTATCTGTAACACCCAACGACTATCCACTAAACAGTTACTGGACTTTAGATTGCCATGAAACACCAATTCACTCTCGTGGATAAATAACATTCCCTGAAAAATAAGGAAAATAATGACATATTTTATGTAAAGTGCATTGGTTCTGTAGAAGGCAAGGCATATTTGACGTTCGCGTACGTGTACCCCTCCCCCTACACAGAAAAAATGAAAGAAATTGAACAATCCAGACGACTTAGGCTGTCAATGAAAATACTATATTTTTTATGTAACTTAAACATTTCCAGACACGATGTTCAACTTAATAAGAGTGAAAGCATTTGTAGCTTTGGTATTCCTGTTAACGATCTGGATATGAACCATGAAATGTCGAACAATTATAGAATCAAAAAATTAAAATTCAAAGGAAAACAAAATTAGTTCAGACACACAAATCCATTTTATGGGGCAAAATATGAATAAAGCAAATATTTCCTCAGAGACCCTTGAAAATAGTATCAGGAGGATAAGACCAGATGTTTCGGAAGGTTAAACATCTTTTGCTTCATCGACGCAAACGCAACCAAGTAAGAGATTTTCCGGTATCAATGAAACCTATGTTAACAAGGAAGTCAACAACAAAGTATTGCTAACGTGCATCGAAAAAGAAAATAGAACATTTCCCAACGAGTTCGTGTAAGCACTGGAAAAGAAAACTGTTTATTATTACACTAATCACACAGTTTGTTGGAAACTGTCCCAGTTTTTGTTCTTTGTGGGAAATAAGAATTAGAAGAGTCCGTACTGTCCATTATTTTCAAATCTTCAAAACGTTTTGTTACCGTAAGACAAGGAAGCATAAATTCTAAAAATGACATGAAATGAAGGAATTGCCAAAGTGTTTGTGACATGATTTGATAAGTGCTTAGTTTTATTCATTTCAATAGTAGTACAGTTTACAATATGGACGAAAATTTAGGCCCTTAGCTTTAGTGACTGATCACCAAAGGTCGAAACAACTGTATGATGAAGCAGTTCTGACCTGTTACAAAAGGACGAAACAACTGTATGATTAAGCAGTTTTGACTGGTCACCAAAGGACGAAACAACTGTATGATGTAGCATAACTGGCAGGTCACGGAAGGACAAAACAATTGTATGATGTAGCATAACTGGCAGATCACCGAAGGACGATACAACTGTATGATGTAGCATAACTGGCAGATCACCGAAGGACGATACAACTGTATAGTGTAGCATAACTGACAGATCACCAAAGGACGAAACAATTGTATGATGTAGCATAACTAATTGGTCACCAAAGGACGAAACAACTGTATGATGTAGCATAACTGGCAGGTCACCGAAGGACGAAACAACTGTATGATGTAGCATAACTGGCAGATCACCGAAGGACGATACAACTGTATAGTGTAGCATAACTGACAGATCACCAAAGGACGAAACAATTGTATGATGTAGTATTACTGACTGGTCACCAAAGGACGAAACAACTGTGTGATGTATCAATACTGAGTGGCCTCTAAAGGACGAAACAACTGAGTGATCCGAGCTGCAACATAACCAATACATTTAAAAAGAAAACAAACAAACAAAAAGCAAAAAGATGTGTTTATGAAATATTATGGTTCCGGTTGTAAAGATTTAAAAATCACATAATCAAATATTTCATCATCTTTAGTGATAAAACATTATCTGTACTCCTTTATTAACGTCAAAAATGTCACAGATATTAGTGCATTGTCATGGAAACGCCATAAACATAACAATACTTGATGCAAGACGAATGTTGATATCAAATGATTAGCACAATTTATTGATTGGTTCATTTATAAAAAAAAAAAACGTTCAATCTTTTTGAAGTAAACATATTATTAATAGTTGCAATTTTCATTAAAAAGACATCGATCGACATGGCAAGCAGCCACTGAGTCACCTATGTATGACGTATTTGTCGACATTGTTTCCGATAGGCACTTACAGAGATTACGGGACTACAAAGAAGGGCTTTGTTTACACAGCACGCATAATAACACATAAAAAAATCTCTTTGGACATTAGACAAAAATTGCTGACGTGATACGTACTTAAATATATTATGATTGCACATATTTTACGTCATCTGTAGCCTTGTTATCTACAATTTACCTGTTTGTCAATAATGTTCAGTTTTGAAAGTGTCAAAGGTCTTAGTACAACAAACTATAAGCCGAGGAAAACAATAGAAGGGAAGTCATATGATTAGAAAGTAGGTGTATTTCAAGCATACATCAGTCATTGGTTTTGCGTGTTGAAGAGTTCATCATGTTAACTTCCAGTAATTTTGTACCCACGATCTCTGTAATTGTGTACACTTCATTTGAATACAAATGAAAATATTGAGAGTGACATGTACACGTTAGAACATCTTTAAATAGAGACACATTATTCAGTCGTACAGTAAAGTTTGACTATGTAGCTTCAGATATAGACATTAAATTAGAAAATGACAGTAACGTAGGTCGATATTAAAAAAGAATTCTTACATAATTGATTTCAGTTCGTCATATTTGTGCATTGATAGGTAAGTAAAAAATCAAGAAAATACAAACATGGCAACATAATCATAATTCAAACTCAAATTCCATAAATTCTAGGGCAAAATATGAACAAAAGTAAGATTTACACGGAGACTCCGATAAAAGAACAAGGGAAATAAGACCTGGTGTTCCAGAAGAGAAGGCGTTTTCTGCTTCATCGCTGACACTCGCCATATAAACATTGGTCAATCCAAGTTAGTAAATAGGGTGAAAACAGCTTATTATTAATGTTTCAGATGTAACTCCAATGATTTAAAGACCTTGAATGGTATCTTCAGAAAGTTAGAAATCCTTTGTAGCTGAAGATAGTTTTTAGACAGGTAGTTTTTATTATAAATGTACTGCTATTGGCAGACAGTAAGAGTAAACGGACAATTATTTTTTCTATCTTTATAATTATTGATCTTACCTTAATTAAGTCTGCTATTAATGACGCGACGAACATGTCATCGAGATGTAAATCCTCATTCTGAAGGATGTCCTAGAAATATGAAATTGAAAAGTTTAATTTAGATTAAAGGGTAATAATTAGACTTTGTCAGTGTGAGACTGTATATGTCATGTTTTGAAATGACAAAATGAACCGATTAACAGGGAAATTTACATCAGATTGCTGAGAATATTTTAAGGAAAACAAGAAAAGCTCTCAGGCTAACGACCAAAAGACATGCATCGGCATCATGTTTAATAGCAGAGATTCCATTGCATGCCTGCCTAGAAATTAATTAGCAGAGATTCCATTGCATGCCTGCCCAGAAATAAATATGTCTGTTATCTAATTTGATTTGTACAAATAACGCGCCATTATTCAATCTCAGATACAAACGAGTTTGATATATTTTTTTAATCAGTGTAGACAATGATCTTTTTGGGGGGAAATGAAAGTTCTATCCACCAGGCTTTTTCATTATCATACTTTTTTTCAATGTCATCGTTGTTTATGAAACAACAATTATTCACTAAAATATTTCAGTATTTAGAAAACGATGACTTATTCTTTATTTGTTTAGAGGATGGAACGTTGTTCCATAGGTTCATTGACTTACCTGTTAAATTGTTTTTGTTTGTTTGTTTTTATTATTTTTTTTAAATAATTTACATTTGCTTGGTTTGAATTTTATCTATTTGTATTCTGTGCTTGTACACCTGAGCCCCAAATAATTCACAGACTTTATTGGCATTGTCCGTCATCGTTACATTTCATTTTAAATATCTCGATTCTAACAAAATATATTTCAAAATGACTCTTGTGTGGATACATCGTTCCTGTCATATGCATTCACACATCTTTTAACTTTCACCACCTTTGTTTATTTCGTATTCTTACCGCGAGACTGCCTCTTGCACAAAACTGTGTAATGATATAAACCCGCGGCGGATCCACAGACGCACCAATAAACCTGTTGATGTTGTCATGGTTCAGTTCTTTCCGTAACTGGAGCTGTTTCTTTAAAGAGCGGTTGATGTCAACATTTTTTCTATATATTTGTTTTATCGCTACGATTGTTCCTTTGAATGATCCTATGGTAATTGATTTCTTGGAATCGCCGTTTTTGATATCCTGTTTAGTGTTTCCAAGCAACGTTGCTCTTTCAGGTTCATCGCTCGAAATCAGAAACCTCCATGGATTCGTCGATTTGCGCTACAATACAAAAGATGATCCCTTAATCTGTTATATTGTTATAAAACTAGAGTTTGTTTTATTAGAGACCAATAGAAATAATCCGATTATCTATATATAGCTTTTAATAGCTTGATTTTTTATCAATAATTTTTATATGAACTTAGAATTAAAAACCAAAACAACAAAATTATATCCCCAGCTATATTGTTAAAGATATGTGTTCAAGAAAGCAACCTTCGGACATGCCGGGGGGATGATATCATTGACAGAATCCACAAGAATGAGATCTTTGTACTCTATTTTCCACAATAGCCGGGCCAGTTTTTGTTCATAGAGGTAGTGCCTGGAAAATATAAATCGCCGTTTTAAGTTTATATGTCTCTGATGTACCACCAGTATATTCTGAGAGTATGATTGCAGTACTAGACGAGGAATCATGCAGAAATGCAATTTGTTTAGCTATCTGTATAGAGAGAGAAAGAAAGATAAAAAAAAATAATAAAAAAAAAAAAACACATTCATAGTATTATTGAAGTTCATCAACTAATATGAACATATAAGGTAATTGGAGCAGGTATATGACGTCCAGAAAGTGTATAGACGATATTGATAAATTCACCATCTGTAACCCGTGACGTAAACATATCATGGTTTATAGTCAAAGTTCACATAGTCTCATCCTACGTTCTACTTTTTTATTATATGATCTGCTTTATTATACTGTTGTAGAACAGCAATTTTCCAGTCTTGGACAACCTGACCTGTTTTGATCGATTGCTAATATCTTGGGATACATCTCTTGACTAATTTTCCAATTATTAGAAACTTCTTGTCGTCACATCCTTCTTTTACGATATTTCAATATGATTGAAGAGAAAGAGCATCCGGTCTGATTTCCGCTGTCGATCGAAGTAGGTTAATAATCTGTTTGTGTAACGTAAATCTATCCCCACTATCGTCATATTGTTGTAAGTTATCAGATTTACCATTCTGCCAGATATACCAACCTGCAAGCAAATACGCTGGCAACCGACAAGGCAGCGGCTACTACACTACAGATGGTGGCTATCTTCCAATCTAAAACAAACATTTTAAGAAATAAAAGACTTTTTTTTTAAATGGACAACCAGTAATTGAATGCATCTTTCCTCTCCATCATCAGGTATATTTCTTTTGAATTGTTGGTTAGTATTTTCTCAAGGCAAACATGTTTAACAAGACAGTATATAAAGTCAATTCGCCTGCATAAGTCTCGTTATTGATATTTATTGATATTTAAGAAATAATTAACACGTTCTTCAAAATGATTTTTTTGTAACCTAATCAAAGAACTGTTCAGGCATGCAATTTTGTATTTCTTTCCCGCTTATACAGTAAAATCAGTACCAGGTATGATTAATTTTGAAACCACTGACAAGAGATATTGAGCTGTCACTGGTGTGAAAATTGTATTGTCCTTGTTTGTTGGGTGGGGATTTCAGTTTGATGTCAACGACATGACCAAGATGTTCCCATAGATACTGAGGTGTGGTAGCACAATGGAAAACACAATCGCGAGTGTAGTAAAGTATAGGTTCGGAAATTACAACCAAGACCAAAAACAGTTACTGAAATAAGCAATCTGTCTCATATGGTTTTAACAATTACCAATGTGTGGTGAATTTATTGGTTCCGGAATATCGCATGTATTGGTAGTAATTTGCCGGCAAACAATTTTTTTATGAAAACGCAGTCCGAAAACTATTAAAATGTCCTTTCTGTCGGAGCGATGAGGACATCTCATCATAAAGAAATTTCAGTCAGCAAAACAAAAGTAAAAAACAAAACATTTGAAATTACAACACGTCTGAATATTGGACACGAAAACGATTTTTTTTCATTAAGATTTTACTTCTGAAAAACGGAATAACATGCGTTTGTAGATTTTAACATAGAATTAGTGTCATTTCCTATACGATGTCTAAACGGCATGTAAATTATACATTTTTCTAGCAGCATCACTCTGATAAACTAGTCTGTGTTTCATCAGGGGGTATATGCATTACAAGACCCAGCTTTATTTTGAGACTGAATTGACACTTGAAATGAAAACTGATGACATGATGTGAGGGATTACACATGATGCGCTATCATTACAGATAGGTCTGAAGTTACGTTGGATTCCGTGTCATCGGTTAAAGCGAAAATAGTACAAATAATGAACTACCTGGCTCATACTGACAACGCTCCTCATCAAATCCACATTCTGGCTCGTCTCGAGGCACTCTTCCCAATTGCCAGTTGATATCACGTTTGAGATAAAACTCCTGAAAGGGTAACAGCTAATCTATCATTTTAAAATGAAGCATCTAGCCCAATGCAAACTTTATAGGAAAAAAACAGAATGTAATTCGGTCGGTGGAGCTGATAATTAATTCAATACTCCAAATTGCGAATAAACATTCTAACTAAAAAGTAAAAACGAAAGAATGCAGATTGATCACCATCTTAACAGTGAATTTTATCGTGCAAAGTGTAAAAACGAAAGAAAGTGGCTGACAGCAATTTAAGCGGAATGTATTTTCATGAATAATATCCTAATCCTTTTAGCGTTCATAAAACAAGGCGTAGATAAAATCAGAAGATGACACAAAATAATTGCATTAACTCGTCTCTACATCTTATCATAGAAATATTTATTTATTTGTGTTTATTTGTTTGTTTAGTCACCCACCTAACTGTCACACGAAAATGAAAACGATGAATCATCAAAAACATTTATGAGCTGCCCTTCAGATTTTTTACGGCGCGCGTCATTCAGTTGATATACTGTGTATCTGTTTTGATAATTGTCAAAATGTTATAACCTTCCATTCAGATTAGCTCTAGACACACCAATATCGATTTGCCAGCGAGGAAAATAGAAACAGACGCATTTCGGTTTCGTGTTTTGATTGCACCTAAATATACAGTCATTTTAGTTTGATGTTGACATTATTTACTTGCATTGACCAATATTTACATGACGGTTGTCGTCGATGAAGCATAAGACGCTTACTCTTCCAGAACACTTGGTCTTATTTTCTTTGTACTGTTTGGTAGTTTCCGTGTATATCTTTCATTTTGTCCTAGTTTTATTGTTAGTATTTTTTCATTTTTTTAGCTGTAGTCGCCGGCATTAAAAAAACATGCTGACAAGTTTTAAAAATTTTAAAAATTCAGAATACATAAAACAGGGCAAGCAAAAACAAACGAAAGACTTACACTGATATCCTTGACACCATAAAGGCAGAATAAGACCATATAATTCGGAAGGAAAGGTAAGTGTCTTCTGCTTCATCGTAGGGATATTCCATGTAAATCTTGGTAGTTCCATATAAGCATGTTATCAAGGCATGCAATTTCATCATGAATAGTAAGATGACCGGCATCTTAAAGGTATTATTCATTTTAGCATATCATACAATATCTCTTACTCAACAATAAATTGGTTTCTTACCATTAATTCATATTTGAAATAAGAAGGGATGACTTGATTTGAGTGATTTTACATAACAGAGTGGCCTGAAGCTCCGTTGGTTTCCGTGTCATCGGTGAAAGCGAAAGAAACATTAATTCACATTTGTAGAAATAATTTTAATGGTCCAGTTTTTTCATCCACTTAAAGACCACACTTATCATAAGAACATTTTGATTCAGGAAATCTGGAAGAATCACTCCTGGAGAAATGCAGGTACGATTATTCGAGTTTTGAGAGGAATCCAATTCGCAAAGTCGATAACTGTTTTTCATATTTGTAAATCAATAATCTCCTCAGTGTAAGATTACTGAATTCAAAATTAAACATTTTAATTTCTTATTTTGCATTTTCTGAAAATGGTATTTCAAACTCAAGAAATGTAACTATATTCCGTTATTATGTACTACTTCCTTCAATCAGCATTTGCTCAAAATGTTATTTTCAGCGCATTTCAACTTTAAAAATATATTAGTTCCCATCACATTTCCACAACCCTTTTCGCGTGTAGATATCATATGCGTTGAAATGAGTTTAAAAGTATTCTGAAAAGCAATACCATTAGTGCTATTGGACTTTGATTTACCTTCCCAATTGGCGTTTGAATACAACCTAGCTATAAAAGAGCACCATCAGATTTTTGATAATCAGTTTTAAAAGTTGATAAAGTTCGGCAATGAACATGCAACATATTAAGCAAAGAGTATATGAAAGCATCAGTCATTATTGCATGACCATACATCATCAACCAAACATGGCACTTTGCGGACCATTAGACCGGAAAATCTTTACGATCTAAACTCAACAAGAGAATGGCGATTGTGAAGATGAAAGACGTGCATGCTTGTGGAAATCTGTCCTGCCCGTAATGATAGATTGGTGCTTTCGATAAACACTGGTCTACCACTGTTGAAGCACGGACAAATAACCACATCTTAGAATCTTGCTTGCGTCACTAAACTTGTCCCAGGAGTATGATTGAGCGGAGTAAATTAAGTGGGTTTCAGGATACCGTTCATGCTGAAAACTGAAAGTTGATGTATGATTACTCCGGGAGTCATAAGGCTATGGTCATGACTATTAGAAAGAGAAATGAGATTGTACTTTGTATTTACAGCTGATCATTCTTCAACGTCTTCGAAATGCTATTATGTTTTTGACACATTATTATATGGGATTGTTAATAGACTACGTAATTACCAAATTGAACAAAATATGAAAATGTGAGAGATAAAGGTTAATTTGTGCTTCAAGTTTCTGTATTTTTATGGGCATTTACTGCCTACTTTTGACTGTACAAATGGTTTTCCTGTCACTTTTGGATACCAAATGGGCACCATCGGAAAATCAGTTTCATCTACTCTACTAATGATTCAATTTGGCACATATTGTTATGTATAGGTGTGATTTGTCTGGGGGTAAATACACTTTGAGTCATCTTACAAATTGTTCGCATTTGCAAAATTCTACATTATCGTGAAATATTGAACAGAAGACCTACAAGTGAATAACACATTTCGAAACTAAATTAGAATTAGAAACATCATAGCTGATTACTTTCTGAAATCATTGCATAGGGGTTTTTATCGTTCTTTTTTTCTCATTTTTGAGGACTCATTTGCGATCTGATAGTACTACCATAACAGAGAGTGACTTAGGAATATCAACATCTTCTAAAGCAAAGTCAGTGTTTACAAAATGAAATGAGAGGTACACAAGTCAAATGATTACACAAATATACTATACTTTTCTAATTAACGCAAACTTTAGATGGAAGACAGAATGAGGCATTAAGTTGATTCAATATTCCATGTGTTTGTAGTCCTTAATGTATGTATATAAAATGGTAATGATATTATATCGGACATAATGCTGTGGTTCCGATCTAAGTCGGAGCCAATTCTTCTTTTTTTGACATGGTGACATAACTTTTGGAAAACATAGCACGCACTTTTGCTATGTAATCAAAACTTGGAAAACTCATATGTATGACCCTGAAACATGGAAAATCTAAATGGTTGACCTTAAAACTTGGAAAACCTATATGTATGACCCTGAAACATGGAAAACCTAAATGGTTGACCTTAAATCTTGGAAAACCTATATATATTACCTTGAAACATGGAAAAACTATATGTTTGACCTTGAAACTTGAAAACCTATATCATGACCTTGACAAATTTGAAATCACGTATATATACAGTAAAGTAGACTATATTTTTTTCCAAATCGGTCAATTTTCTAATATTCTTAAGTCATAATCTACCTATTCGTTCACCATTAGGGACGATACGTACCGGGTACCCGAGTTCGTCAGATGTCATTTTGAAGTCACCAACTTGCTCTAGCCGAGGTGGGTACTCACTCGTAAGACTGAGGACAGAGTAGTTCCCTTCGGCGTCACCGACCGCGTCAATATATACGTCATAGCCTTGGATACCTGTTTCAGACAAAAATTCTGAGGTCACAACCATGACGAAAGAGACAGCATAACATATTTGTTGTTATTGTGTGTCATTAATCTACAGTTTGTTGAAATACATTGTAACTGCGTGTCACTTTTTTTAAAGTATGCTGAGTTAATGTTTTTTTCATAACAGCTGGTTTTATCCTCTTTGTACTTTTTAAGCAGTCTCAATGTAAAAATGTTTAAGTGTAAAGTTTTTTTCTAGAGAATATTACTTTCACGGTCTGCACCTAAAACATACTTAAGAATTAATCCGACTTTGAATTACGCCTGTCAGAAACATAAGTCACTTATCTATCGCTAATACATTTGTCATGTTTAGGTTCAAGGACATACCTTCCCTCTTCTGTAGAATGTAAATACGAATTCAATTACAAGAGAAAAATAAAATATGTTCAACAGTGAATTATGTGCTTTTAACTAACCCAAAATGTCCCGAAAGGCCATTTTCAAATACAGAATTTAAGATAAAAACTGGTAATAAATCTAGCCTAGATGTAATTGAATATTATTTAAAAATACCTACATCTTTTAAAAACGCACTCCATGTTAAAGTTAATCACCCATTCCACTTCACTTAACAACTCGTACAGAACATGACACTTCAAGTGTAACAACAGAAGTCAGAATATAGATATTTCATCAACATACACTAAACCAGGTGTAACTGTTAAGCCTATTTCTATTTTGAAGTTTTGACTATCAAATCAGTTATTTATATCGGTTTATGTGCAACTTACTGTGAAATTTGCTGTTTCTGATTTGCTGTACGACCGCAGATCCATTCCGTGGGGATCCTCCAATTTGAAGGACCTTGGCCAAAGCCTGTGCGAATACCATTACAGAATCATACAAATAGGCGGCCGAGATAGGAACATGATGCTGAAAAAAAAAAGAAAAAAAAAAGAAAAAAAATTAGATACTTTGGAAATACTGATGACAATAACAAAATATTCTTGTAAAAACGCAAGTTGACTTATGTTCCGAAGAGGAAATATATCCCAAAAGTTATTCATCAGCCATCGTCATGTTTTCATCACATCCGAGAAAATATATAGGTCACCAGCCAACTATTGTACAACGACAATGTCGTTTGTAGTTATGTACTCTAAAATCAGGTTATGGTCATAACTTTACATCAACAAGGAATATCGGTCACCAATAACATCTTTGGTCCCAAAAGACAAAACCTAAATGACTCCTATGTGTGATGGAAATTAGATCACGGTGTTATATGTTCATTTTCTTTAACACTTAATCAAATATATGATAATTATTGTGTCTTTCCTTTCTTTGTATATATTGGTATTTTAAAATGAGACTTGCGAAGAAAGGCAAAAATAATAAGAAAACAACATGCGGTTGGAAATTTGGAAATTTAGTTGAAAAATTAAGTTTGACTATTTATATATAATAAAGTGGTATTATATTATCGTTGTCAGAAAGAAATGTAATTTTGTTCACGGGTGGTTGTAAGATATCGACATCAAGCGACTAATGATTAATTCTTAAGATTGAATTTAGAAGCCAACACTAGAAGCCCTATGAAAAAGGTGAATGAATAAAGATATATACAGCGAAGCCTCGTTATCTCGTCCTCGTATTGCTCGAAGATCCGGTTTAATTCGAAGCATTTCGTCAATCCCTGCCTAGCTAAACACAACACAGTAGAACTCACTTAAATCGAATACTCAGTTATCTCAAAGTATTCCCATAGTCCCACCGAGTTCGAGATAAAGAGGTTCGGCTGTAATACATTCTTTTTCAGTTTAGGACATTTCTGGCTCTAAACGGGAACAACAAAGTTGAATTTAAAAAATATCGAGCTGAAGATATTAAAATAAAAACGGATTATGTTTAAAAAAAATTTAATCTTATTATTTTCTTGTGGATTTTAATTATTCAGGCTATTATAAGATAATCACCTTGGAAACGATTGCCGGAAGTGGTGGTAAATTTATTGGTGACTTATGATTGAGGTCCCGCACGTTCTGTAAGAAAGACTCCCAATAGGGGTTGTTCGGAGCCCTTGGGACCAACAGTAGAACAGACCGAAACGCTGATACGCTCTCTTCGGTGACGTTTACCTCAAAAGGAGCTGCAATCATGAAATACTTGGCTTTACACGTGACAAAATCGTTTCTTGTTTTGAGTGCTAAGTATTTTTGACCAAATGCCTATCGATAGAAATCATGTTATGAATAGTTTTAAAAGTATCCGGCACTCTTCCTTCTCTTTGTACACAGCTCAAAGTGTACTTAAAAACATGCATAGGTTTGTTTTTCAAACTGACAAAGTGACGTCATGAACTTTATTAATTATCTGCTCAGGCTAAAATATTCCTAACGGTACTTCTAGGTATTACAAAAAATATTTTGAAATATATATCATTGAGCTACACTTTGAGACAAATTAGTCTTACAGGAGTGAATAAATATAATATTTATGATAGATTGCTATTATTCATGCAAATGTCAGACAAAAGGGCGCCCTACTTTTGATGAAGAAGTTATGATCCTCCGTATTATAAGGCCTGTCGTCTGCTGCCCGTGCAATAATTACGTACTCCCCAGTGTTCGTTTCTGGCTTCCGGTCAATCGCTCGTGCGAAGTCGATAAGAGCGTAATAGTCGCCCAGAAAAATGTAAACTGAAATCATATCATATTGCAATAGTTCATTACACCTTAATGGAACACAACACTGTCAGAACCCATCATGGGCGATTTGTATCAATATTTAAGCTTCCGAGTCGAGACAAATCCGTATTTCATATTGTATAGTGTTTCATGGTTAAATCTGGTGTTGCCAACTTCATCGATTGCACGTTTTTCAGGTATTTGACATTCATATTGGCTATAAATCTTCACACGATTAAAAAATGACATACTTTGAAAAAAAAATGTTGACATCACTAAGGAGACCTAGAAGAACGAAACAGCTATATGATACAGCTTAATACAATGTTTGGCTCAACTGTATCTTACCCTAAATTTGTATTAAATAGTACTATTTTCTTTTTTGTCTTTCGTACAATCTTCGAAATTTCTTTCTGATTTTTTTCTCAAATGGAATAATGATTTGAATAGTATACTGTTTGAACTCAGAAGAAATTGGGTATGTTTTAAAGGATAAAAACAGTTAATGTGGTTTCAGGATTTAGCATTATTGTAGAAAATAGAATCTTTATAGAAGTTGCTTAAAAATGACTTTTCATTTCAGGAAAAAAAATCAGAAAAAATGTGAAAAATACGAAAAAGGTCAACTCTCATTAATTGCTTTTTTTTATAAACAATAAACTCAAAACATTATTTCTGTTTGATAAATTTTAACGACGACAAACCAAATATTACATCACCAAAAGTATTGAATTCATTTAAAAGAATATTGCGATAACTTCGAATAAATATTTACCAAGAATACTTTGTGTAAATAATAATATGAATTTGTTTTTGCAAGACATGAAGTAACGAATAATTACTTCTTGTTTTCTTGTATGTTTTCTCAACTATGGCTGGAAAATTCGTGTTTGATGGGTATGGTTCCTTAAAGTAAACTTTTTGCGTCACTTTGATGTCATGGTCTGACGTCATCTGCTGGAGGCTGCGCGCGGTCTGGTTCCATTCGTCTGACGTACCAACAACCATAGTAACTGTCCGCCACTTGAAGTACTGTAATACTGCTAGAATTGACTTCGATACTTTGGAAGTGGAAGGCTGAATTTGAATAAACGTCGATTGAAGCCGAGTCACGTGGGGAACTCGTGACATCGCAAAGTCATGGCAACCCTACAATGACACAAAATAATGACTGCAGTTATTTATGCTGATAGTAAGATAGCTCCACAGGTGTTGAATCAGACAAAAATTATTCGTAAAATAGATATCATATTCAAATGATTCATAAGTGATTCTTTTATTCAGAAATTAGTAGGCTTTTAAGCAATCGGAAGTTTGTTCAAATATAGGTATAAACACACTCTCGCCACTAGACGTTATCCTTTGATAGACCACAACAATTAGAGTCCATAGAGGACAACTATTACCGGACCATGTCCAGTAATCAACAGAATGACACGGGCTCCGGTTACTAATTAGGCCATTGGGTAGACGAGGGAGACAGACTGACCAAACACGGCTCTCAAAGGACGCATTCACATTATTTGCAGACTATGCTGGCTTCGTTTTCTTGATGCAATTACATATAAGCGATCCAACACTGGTGGTTATCCACCTCTACTTCAACCTATTTATTTAATAGGCGCAGCTGTTTCGAACACTGTAACATAAACACCGTTACCTACACACAAGGGGATCTTGTTTTACTTTTTCCGATGAGAACAAAAAGTGCTATACTGATAGCTTTAAGACACAAATATTGCTTACAAAACCCCCAAGATATATTTAAGCTTTCGAAATAAAGAAATTTGGATCCAAATGAAACGTATCGCAGAAGTTTAGTTTAGTTTTTTTTTTTTTTTTATTTTCTCGAGCCTTAGCAAATTAAAGAGAAATGAAAACAAATTAAAGACACTTTCCATCACAGAAATTAGAAGAGAAACCTTTTGACAGGTTTAAAATTCAAAGGGTGGTTTACGAAATCAAAAGGAGTCAGATTTATTGTTGTAATTTAATCCTGTTCGATCGAGAAAATATATCAAACTGCAAATTTGTTTTTATAAAATCAATATCTATAATTTACACATAACTGTTAGATGAATATCAGTAATGAAAATAGTTTTGTTAGCAGAGAATTATTCCATTATTTTGGGAATTTGTTGCTAGGTGATATAACAGCAATTTAATTTCATGTTTACAGGAATTTTACATTGGATATTTTGTTTCATTTAATCTCGTTCATGACTCACAGAAAGAGTTTATTTTCACGCTTTTTTCATACATGTCACATGAAATGAAAAACGAAAATTACCCTCATTAACAGCATCGCTATCTAGTTGTTATATATACTGCCTCTATCGTGTGATTGTACAAAACACATTACACCTTCGAATGAAGTGATAAAATTATATCCAGCTTAAGTTAGCTCACAATTAGAAGGACTGAATCGGGAGAAGGTTGGATAGAACAATTTATCGATATAGTATAACAAACAGAGATAAATTGGATTACATAATCGTGAGATAACCTGATAATAAAGCATACAAATGGAGTTTGTTTGAGCTTAAACCAATTATAAAGTGTATCCTTGTTCAGTGCTGAGGCATGCCATCAGATGTGCTATCATTATGTGTTTAAACGTTTGACAAGGCCATTATATATATTTAAATGTATCTTCACGTGCTTACGTGAATGTATTTACAAATATTTGCAGAATGAATTTTCAATAACTTCATCATTACTTTGTTGACAAGCGACTTTTAAATTCCATATGTATCTATTTATAGCTGCCATGCGCTACCTCTGCATGTGTACTTTTACGCCAACGGAATACAAGAGGGAAATCCGTCCGGTCGAACAGGTGACAACACAATTTTCACGTCCGGTCAGGGATTCAAAACTAACTTGTCAAGACAAACGGTGAGTGCTCCGTACTTGCAGTACATTTTGACAAACCGACTCGACTTGTATTAGCAAATCATACCGTTTTTAACGTAATTGACGCTGGATATTGCCCTGTGGTACTGGATACCATCTAATGCCACTTGACAAAGCTTGACAACAACATGATAACAGCATGCCTAAGTGATAAACAAACACTCTCCCATTAGGATCACGTAGGATACAAAGTTAAAAGTTCAACATCAGTCGGTGGTTTCTCCGAATCAAAGGTAACACCTTGTAAGTAAGGATATACAATTGTATAAATCTTGCTGACATTGATTTCTACCTAAAAATAGTTTATACAGATATACCAGTATAGTCCTCCGAAAGCCGCAACGTTTTGAGATTTATCATCAAAATTTATATTAAAGCGGCCGTAAAGCAATTTGAGAAAAACACCAAAATATTATGAAACGGGACATTAATTGTCTTAAAAATATTATGAAATTATGGATTGGACATGAATTATTATTAAAGTATTATGAAATTTGAACATTAATTATAATTAAAATGTAATGAAATGGAACATTAATTATTATCAAAGTAATATGAAATGGGACATTAGTTATTGGGTTTGGACCGTGAAGTATCATTCTACCATATTCAGAGCCTAAATGTCGATAGCAAAGAAATCTTAATTAACATTCTTACGGAAATGTCAACTCATCAGTAATCAGCGATATAAGTCTGTATACAGCTACATTTGACAACACCCTAGAGGTATATATCTGGTAACCGAAACCAATCATCCTTATGAACATACATAGGATGCAAATTACCGTGTGGATTTCGTCAACAGTATCTGATAACCATAAATCCTCATAATGCAACTAACGTTTCCAAAACGAAATTACACTGACTCATAAAATGAAGAGTACTTTTCGGAAGAATTCAATTTTCAGCTAATTTGGTATCTGTTGTCGTAGAAACTATATTTGTGTAAATCTTATGTTAATTACACGTCTTTTAATTAATTAGTCACGTTCTGTATATTTGTTATAAAGTTATTTTGCGGATTTTCACACGTAGAACTAAAGGAAAAGTACATTGGGCTGTTGGATTCGTTTTTTAATCGTAAAAAAATATGATGACAAGAAAAAACCAACAAGTGAGCTTCATCATATTTCACACTCAAATTCTATAAAACTACGGAAAACTTTAACAAAAGACAGATTAACACGGAGACTCCGGAAAAAGAACAAGAAGTACAAGAGAATTACAAAGTCATTGTTTACTTGGTGTTCCGTTTACGGAGCAACAATTCATTAACACATTTTTTAAAGCTGAAAACAATTTCCCTTTCAATCATAAAGATTCAATAAAACTTAATATCTTAAATGTCATGATATTTGAAGAACTCGAAAAAGAAATTAATGGAATAAAGATATATACCTGTATATCTAATATATCATTTATATGGTTGGAGGATAATTCCGGTCACTATTTGAAATTTTGATGTATGTTTTCAGTAGGTTATAGATATTATGGCTGTGTAAACATAATATTATATTGGGTAAGGGGTATGTATATTGTTGGAATGGTATGTACTTACTTTAAAACTTTAATTAAACATATTATATATAAATAGTGGAAACAATATTCCGTCCATATGTCCTCATGTTTCGGAGGCAATTAAAACATTTATTGTGCGGTTTTCACATAGCTATCACAAATAGTTTCTAGTAGACGGTATATTTGAGAGAGAAAAAGAGAGGGGAGTGGAGGGAGAGAGGGGGCAATTGAAACATTTACTGAGGGATGCTCACATGTCACAAATAGCTTTTAGTAGACGGTATACTTGAGGAAGAGAGAGAGGGGGGAGGGAGAGAAATTAAGAAAGAGAGCGAGAGTCAGTCAGAGAGAGAGAGACATAAAGAGAGACAGAGGGAGAGAGAGAAACTTGACACAGATCCAAGTAATCGATATGGAAAACATTGGACAATTGTTTTCGAGCTCTTTTTCCCTACCTATATAAATCATATACAGGACGCAGATGTAACTATGATTAGTATTGGAGATAACTATCCTACAGACAAAAGAAAAAACAACAGAAACATTTGTAAAAACGCCGCGTTCAATACCCCTATTCTTTTACATTGACCTTTACTCGTGGAATAACATTGACATAGCAGTCTATGTTGGGTCAACAAATCCCATTCATCTGTTAAAGGCTCAGCGTACGTTTACTTGATAATAAGCAAATATTGTTGCAAACACTGTACGAAAACATACATTTACTGACGTCAAAAACACCATTTGTGACAAAAGACCGATGAAAATTGATATTATTTCTAATTGTGGGAAAAGATACGATTTGAAGACCTGTCAAATAAATAAATGTATTCCAAGAGTTCTCAAAGTCATTGAAGTAGTCGTTTTGTTTTGTAAACGCCATATTGACAGATGAAACATGATATCCAATCAATGTCATCAAGGACAGCTGAATATGTTTATTCATATCTTTCTGAATTCGGTCAAATATCGGGTTGGAATTACACGCACAACCAAACTGAACAAGAACTAGCTAGTAAACACCTTACTCATATTCTGAGAGGTAAAACGCAATTAAACTGCAATAAAATCGCAGCAGTAGATTTTCAACTGTTCCATTGGGTGCTCTTTTGTCTTTGCATTCACTTTAAGAGCACCATAAACAGTTTAAATACCATGTGTACTCTTGTCAATATCAAACACGAGAATGTTCCATTGTGGTGAGATTATAGCCAAAGGTCATTAAAGATGGTGGTCAGCTGTCGGTCAGTTCAGGCATGAAATTATACAAACCAGCCTTTCCCAAAGAAACAAGTATGATAATTCCTGATCCAGTCAATCTAAACGTCTTTAAAAATATTTCATGTAGAATATTTGTGGGAGAGGTTTTAATTACCTTTTTTCAAGGAACTGATTATACAAAACGTAAACATGTGCCGATTTTATTTCGGTGTGTTACAATTATTGGTGATGGCTCAATGTATCTCCTTTTCTCTCTCAAACGAAGTATATCTTTATGACATTATATAGATGCTAGAAAACTTATACAATACATATATACATAAGCGACACCAAGGTTGCCATGGACATTTACGTTACATAAACATACGCTTTCTGGAGACTTTAGAAAATCATAAGGTGTTTATAATGTTCGGAGATTGTACAAACGAAACACAACAGAATAGTATCTGTCAAAACAAGTTCAAAATATATTCAGTAGAGTCAGACAGGGAATT